CGTCGGCTCTTATATATGTGTGTGTGTGTGTGCCCTGAATGTGTGTGAGAGCAAGCGAGCGAGCGAGCGAGCTACGGCACATTTGTCATGATTGCCTCTCGCCCGCCACCTCTCTGATGTTCCCTCAGCTCCTGCTGTTGCATTAAGGGTAAAAAAGAAAAGAAAAAGAGGAGGGCGTGAAGAAGTGATGGAAAAAGAGGGAGAGAAGGAGACAGAAGGTGAAGTAAAAAGAAACCAAACTGAGAGAAGATAAATCAGCCGATTAGAGTGAAGGCGTTAGCTTAGCTTAGCACAAACACTGGAAACAAAGGGGAACTGCTAGCCTAGCCAACTTTAGACAGCAAGTACGGTGGCCTGTAAGTGCAAACCCGCCAGCCTCAACGTCATCTTTTGTTTTTGTTTTGATTGAGAGCCCCCTGGTGGCCGAATTTACACACTGTGCCTTTAAATGTAAAAAGTTTGTCTCGAGCTTTGTAAAAGTGTCTCACACTTTGTTATCTCGGTTTGCACTTCCCATGTTTTAAATGAGGTGTTCGCACATCAAGCTGTCACACTTATAAGGAAAGACGTCCCGCACATTGCTCACGCTCGCCATCACCAATCTTTAAAAAAGAATCGCATCGCTTCCCTCTGTGTGGTCTCACTTTGCACATCCCAGCCCCCGTAAGCCTGCACCAGTTTGGTCACGATCGCACATCAACTCTCGAGATATGACTCAAATGAAAAAGCATGAAACGCCATTTTAGAGTTTGGCCGTCCGGCGTTTTGTTGCGTCTTTACAAACTTTTTTCTACTTTTCCTCTTTAAGATGCTAAATGTCTCGTTCATTTGCAACACGCGTTCGTCTTCTCTCGTGCTTCTATACAGTATTCCCACTTGCTTAACCAATTATATTCATGTCCTCCTCACTCTTTCTCGCCGTGGCGTGTCTTCGTGGAGGTTGCGTTGACCTTGCTGTAGCTCTCTTTGTCTCACGCGTCACGTTAGCTAGTTATCAGTCGGACACAACGGGCTCCATGAACGAGGCAGCGCTATTAGACAGTCTGACAATGATACACCGTCCCGTGGAGACTTCACGCGCACGCGCACACACGTGAAGAGAAACCCTCGGCACTCTGGGTATTGTCCAAAGATCACAGGCGTAGGTGAGTTGTTCTTTTTAATTAATCATTTGTCCTTCAAACGAGGGAAACTTTCCATGCCGTAGATAATTAGGTCCCAGAGTCGGCGCCGGCAGCCACCTGCTGCCTTTGTAGCCCTAATCTTTGTCTTGTAGGAGCGTCGTCCCCGAAGACGCTACGGCAACGCAGGCACAACGAGCAGAATGAGAAAACACCTCTGAGTCCCAGCATGCTCCTCCTCCTCCTCCTCCTCCTCCTCCTCATCCTCCCTCACGGCTTCTATTCCTCGTAATTCTCCTCTGTTTCCTCTTCTCCACCTCCATCCTCTCCTCCTTCTTTTCCACTTTTCGTGGTTGTCGGTTCCTTTACAGTTTTCTTTTTCTTTTTCATTTTTCTTTTGCTCTTCTCCTCCTTTATAATTGACTTCACTATTCTATCTCTGCTCCCTCCTCTTTTTCACATCTTCCTCAAATTCCTAATTTTTTATTTTTTACACTCCCTTCATTCCTCCTCCTTTTCCTCTTCTTGTCTTTCCAAAACTTTTCCTTCTGGTTTTCCACTTTCTTGTTTCTCACTTTTATATTCTCCCTTGTCTACTCTTCATCTTCTGGCTTTTCACTCTCCTCCTCCACCTCCTTCTCATCCTCCTCCTCCTCCTCCTCCTCCTCCACTTCTTCCTCCTCTTCCTCCTCCTCCTCTTCTTCCTCCTCCTTCTCCGCCTCCACTTCTTCCTCTTCCTCCTCCTCCTCCTCCTCCACTTCTTCCTCTTCCTCCTCCTCCTCCTTCTCCTTCAAACTTTTTCTATTTCTTATGGTTTTTCTTCTTCCTCTCCCTGATGTTTGCTTCATTGATGCAACAAACAAACACTGATCACACACTACTGTACGCACATACGCAGCCTTGGCAGGTGTGTGTGTATATGTGTTGTGTGTGGTGTGTGGTGTGTGTGTGTGTGTGTGTGTGTGTGTGTGTGTGTGTGTGTGTGTGTGTGTGTGTGTGTGTGTGTGTGTGTGTGTGTGTTTCTGTGGGGAAACTAATCCCATTAATTCAAAGTGAGTAACAAAGAGAGAGAGAGAGGGTCCTGCTCCCTTGTCGCCCGTCCGTCCTCCCTCTCTTCTGTTTCCTCCCTCCCTCCATCATCATTATTCCTCCGTCAGATCCTCGGCTGATTTCCTGGAGGACTGAGAGGGAGAATGGGCCGAATGATGGAGGGATGGAGGAGGAGGAGAGAGGATTGTAGCACACTTGTTTTCTTTACTTCTTTCCTTTCCTCCTTCACTTTCTTTCTCTCTCTCTCTTCTTGTCTATCTTCCCCTTCCCGCTCTTTAACTATTTTTCCTCCTCCGTGTCCGCTCTCTCTTTTTCTCTTTGCCTTCTCCTACTTCTTTTCTCTCTACTTCCTTGCCTCTTCCTCTTTTTATTCTTTTCTCCATCACTTTATTGTTCCTCCTTTATAACCTTTTAAACTCTTTCCTTCCCATGCCTCCTCTTCCTCCCTCCTTCTTCAGGTCATTTCTCTCTATCGTCTAGTCTTATCATCCTCCTTCTCTCATTCTTCTCTGCTCTTTTTCCCCTCTAATCCTTCGTCTTCTTCTTCTCCTCTTATCTCTACACCTCACTACACTTCATCTTCCCTCTCTATATTTCTCCATCTTTTTCTTTCTCTTGATCTCCAACCTTCATGTTCCTTTTCTCCTTAACTTTTCTCCTCTTCCCCTTTGCTGTCCTCTCTCCCTCTCCCTCTCTCTCTCTCCCTCTCTCTCTCCCTCCCACCTCTCTCCCTCTCTCTCTCTCTCTCTCCCTCCCACCTCTCCCTCTCTCTCTCTCTCTCTCTCCCTCCCTCTCCCACCTCTCTCTCTCTCCCTCTCTCTCTCCCTCCCACCTCTCCCTCTCTCTCTCTCTCTCTCTCTCCTCTCTCTCTCCCTCCCACCTCTCTCCCTCTCTCTCTCTCTCTCTCTCTCCCCTCCCTCTCCCACCTCTCTCTCTCTCTCTCTTCCCTCTCTCTCCCTCCCACCTCTCTCTCTCTCTCACGCTCCCTCTCTCTCTCCCTCTCTCTCTCTCCCTCCCTCCCTCTCTCTCTCTCTCTCTCTCTCTCTCTCCCCCCCCCTCCCCCTCCCCCTTCCCCTTCCCTCCCTCGGCTCTTGTCTTTCTCTCTTCAAGGACATTTATATTATAAAGACTGAATTTGCATATTAATTCATTTCTTTCAATTTTTTCAGATTAGACGTTGTCAACACGTATCAGCGCTGATCAAACTGCCGCGTCCACCAGAGACCCTTAGCGTGTTTGAGTGTGTGTGTGTGTGTGTGTGTGTGTGTGTGTGTGTGTGCGTGTGTGCGTGTGTGTGCGCGCGCGTGCATGCGTGCGTGCGTGTGTTTGTGTGTGTTTGTGTGTGTGCTTGTTTGTATTATTAAGGGAATTGTGAGCAGGAGAAAAGAAGTTGTAAAAGGAGGAGAAACAAGCAGCCTGACAGAGTTCACAAACACACACTGGTACTCCAGTGAAACACACATACATTACGACATGCACACAAACGCACAAACACTCACAACAGGCTATATAAGATTCTTTTTGTAATTTCTTTCGGTATAAAATATCACACGTTAGGATTTAAATACTGAACCCTACCTCTGCTGTCGATCTTAATAATATAACACTGCCTCTCATTTTATTTTTCCATGCCTCTCCTTTTACTTATACCTTGTTTGCAATCTGTCAATCACAGGTAACCCCTAACCCCTAAAGGGCCTTCAACGCCCAAACTGTCGGACACGACTTTACAAACTAGAGCTCTCTCTCCGACGTCCTGGTAGGTCTGTAAACTGGAGTTCAGGAGAGGCAGACACCGTTTGTTGTGATCTGAGCCTCTCTCCTACGGAGGTGACGTCACAGCGGTGCACCCAAGTTAAACTCCTCCCCCTATATCTGGTCTCTTCAACTCTAAATGGGACAATAATTCACTAAAAGAACATCCTGATGTGTTGAAGAAGACTTGAAGCTACAGATCATAACCATGAAGTCATCAGGAGAATATTTACAGAGGGAACAAATCAACTGAGAAGAAAGAGCATTTTCTTATAAAGTTCCTGCACTCAGTGGAGGCGCCCCCTGCTGGCCATTAGAAAGAGTTTAAGGCACTTCTGTACGGGCTTCACTTTCCCGACCCCTGTGTTCGTCCTGTGTGTGTGTGTGTGTGTGTGTGTGTGTGTGTGTGTGTGATGAGACGTCTCCCAGCTGTCTCTCCTCCCATCGCTCCCTCTGATGGATGGAGGAGTTATGAATATGCAGTCGATTTCTGGCTGACGAATGGAGCGTCTCACCTTCAGGATACACCGCCCGTCGCTGAGGCTGGAGGAGGTGGGGGCGGGGCGGAGGGGTGAAGTGTACTTCCTGTGAGGGATTTAGACTTTTGGTCGAAGGAGAAATCCGACTGATTCTACACGATCTTGGTCTTGGTCTGAGCTGGACCCTTTTGGTTTTTTATGTGTCGGTCATGAGTTGAACAAAGAGTTGAACCTTTCCTTCCTTCCCTCATGTCCTGTTTGTGTTTTCTCACTCCCGACTTGTTTTGACATTTCACCGTTTGATTACGGCAAGCTGCTTCCACATGATTGACAGCTTGACGGCGGCTGTGATTGGCTGACTGGTCCTGCTGACAGAATAAATGTTTTAATCAATTAAAATCATCTTGTTTAAAAAAAAAAAAAAAAAAACATTTCTCGGATTTTTTTTTTTTCAGGATGATATATGGATGTGTTTAAGCGTCCAACTCTGCATCTGTATTCATGGATGAGCTCGTCAGGGAGGAAAGCGTACAAAGATGTGATCTCGTTGGTGTTTTCTTTAACGTTAAAGTTTTGCATGTTTCTGTCTCCGCAGTGGAGTCGAGCAGTCCCAGCCTCCTGGCTCCTGATAACACCCTGGAGCGCTCCTTCTTCGTCAGGATGAAGTCGACGCTCACAAAGAGAGGAGTGCACATCAAGTCCTCAGGATACAAGGTGAGCTCATGATCCCCCTCGTGCTGCTTCGTTAGCTCTGACCTCTGACCTCCGTTTCCTGTCCACGATGGGGTTTTTTTAAGAATGAAATGCGACGTCTCACAGACTGACGTCGTTCTGCACCCTCGCTGCAAACACAGAGAAAGATTAAAGGTGTTATCAGCTGGGAGCGTAGCTGTTTTTATGTGTTATAATAAACAGAAAACAGGAAACAGTGTTGTTTGTACCGTGACATAAAGAGGAGTACTTCCTGTGAGGTCATCAGGTTTCAAGTCTTTAAATCAAATATAATGATCAATTACAGGAAAAAACAGACTGTGTTCCACCGTATGACTCTGCAGGTGTGTAGATATGTGAGACACACACATGCGCACACACGCACACACACACGCACACACACACACACACACACACACACACACACACACACGCACACACACACACATGGATCAGTGTTAACATGCTAAACTTGACCATTCTCCTCTCACATTCAAAGAGACAGGATTACACCATTTGACCAACAATTCTGTGTGTGTGTGTGTGTGTGTTCTCCTTGAAGACAGGAGAATATATTATCAGTGGTCGGCTTATAGTCTTATTATCTGTCATCGAACGGAGTGATGCGTATGGAAATTCATAATCCTACCGTGGACAGAAAGTGTGTGTGTGTGTGTTTGCGTGTGTGTGTGCGCGTGTTTGTGTGTGTAGGTATTTACACTTGAGGACGACAGCGAGCAACAGAGAAAAGTTTACAAAACTGGATCCGTCTGTCATTCTCTCATCGTGAAACTTAATGTGTGAATAGTTTTTAGTTAAATATATTATTTAATAATTGTTTATTTATTGTTTTAAATTAATTTGCTGCCCTGATAAAACTTAAATAATCTCAAGTACAAACATTCAGAAAATGCTTTTATTTTGTTATTCTGTCTAAATGAGGTAATCCATCATCAGCATGGGGTGTGTGTGTGTGTGTTTGTGTTGTATACCATGTTCCACCTGGCAGTCTCAGATCATATGCAAATCACAGCGGAGACAGAGACGCACATAAATATTCATCCACACGCATGCATATATTACGACACACATTTGCACTCAGAGAGAAACACACACACACACACACACACACACACACACACACACACACACACATACAGTTAAAGCTGTTGTATGGCAGCAGAGACGTGAAGCTAGAAGGTTCAGACACCAAGACGTTGATGTTTGTACCGACAACAAATGTTATTTTCTTCTTCTTTCTTTTAAGATTCTTTAATTCTTTAGGTTATGCCTTTATTTAGAGACAGGACAGTGGATAGAGAGAGAGAGCTAGAGAGAGTCATGACATGCAGGAATGCAGGTCAGATTCGAACCCGGGCTGCCCGTTTGGAAGAACTAGGCCCCAAATTTTCTTTTAATAACAACAAATACGGTTACACAACATTTTAAATGTTTTTTTCATTCATGTCTAATACAGGGTTTCCCAACCTCGGCGTCCCCACCTCACTTTGGGTCGCCTGAAAGGTGTTTTTATTTATTTAAAAAATGTATTACATACATATTGAACGCAGGCTTCTGAGGGCCACAGCCAACGCCTAAACAAAAGAAAACCTCTTGTCCTCTGTCCACATTATTAAACACGAAAAAGCCTAAATGTGCTCTAACAAGACTCTAACATGACTCTTTACTTGTCTGGGGTCGCCTGAGTTTGGTGAAGTCAAAGTCAAATGCAATGAGCGAGAATAAAAAATGGCGGACCTGCTCAAAAGTTTTGCTTTTTTTTTTTTTTTTTTTTACCAGAATCCCACTGTGACATCACAAGGGGAGCACATTATAAACAGAGAATTTTTCTCTGTGTTGTAAGACTTATGCAGACCACAGACAAAGGACTGGATGGGTTTATTTCGCATTTTGTGAGTCAGTAGACACTCAGGTTACACAGATATATGTTCAGAAACACTGTACAAGTGGATTTTTCATGATATGTCCCCTTTAAAGGTGGAGAAAATGTATGAAAATGGACGAGATCAGTGGACTCATTGGGTGAACGTGTCCAGTTAAAGGTGCTGTTTTCTATTGCTGTAACCTTAACCTCCCCCTCTGTTTGCTTTTTTATTTTTGGTCCAGGTGATTCACGTCACGGGACGTCTGCGGATCAGGATGGCTTTGACGCACAGCCGCTCGGTGCCCAATCAGATCATGGGGATGGTGGTGGTGGCCCACGCCCTCCCCCCGCCCACCATTAACGAGGTCCGCATCGACTGCCAAATGTTCGTCACCCGAGTCAACATGGACCTTAAGATCGTGTACTGCGAGAACAGGTAGAGAAGGGGGAAAAGGGCGGGAGTTAAATCTGAAAAAGTTATCCCATCTTTATCTGTAGTCCTCCAAGGGGGCGGCCTGGGTTTGAATCTGACCTGTGGCACCTTTCCCGCATGTCGCTCCCTGCTCTCTCTCTCCCTGATTTCTGAATCTGTCCACTGTCCGGTCCCCCCCCCCCCCCCCCCATGAGTCAGCGTCCCTGTTAGACCACCCCAGTCAGAAAAGTCTGGACCCGCCCCCGCATTGATGGTTCAAAGATGAAGTTGTCACCCCGTGCCGTAGCGTCTCATCGATGAGTCCTCCAGGTTTAAGCATGAAGTATGTCGCTGATGGCTCCGGCTGCTTCCCTCCGTCCAGATGAAGGCGATCAGGATCTCGCTCAGGAGTCAACTGGCCGCCCAGCAGCGATTCACATCAGACCACAAAAATAATAAATAAATAAATAAAACCTTCATGTTTTATTATAAAGACAGAGCAGGGAAAATGGTAGTAGACAGATTGCTTTTTTCTGTGGCTGGAAAAAAAAGGGAGACAATGCGAGGCAGACGATGATATTGAATGCGGAGCGACAGAAAGCGTCTGTGCGGCGAACAGACAAGCGTCGCTCCCATTACAGCCCCATTTTGAGGATGAGTTTCTAAGAGAATGAGAAAATGGGTGGAAAGAGCATTTTCTCTTTTTTTTTCATCCAAAGAACAGAGTGTGCTCTTATCTGCCTGCCAGACATTAGTCTCCCCACCGCACGCCCACCCGCCCGCCCTCCATCAGAACGATAGCGGGGAAATTGTTCCGTCTATCCTGCGGCACATTAGTTCAAATTAAACCTTTTAAAAAGCTGAGGTGTGTTACCTGCTCAGCAGACAGACAGGCTTCACTCTCTGTTGTCGAGCTATTAGCTTCCCTGGACGACACAGAGAAGATCGTCCTGCAGCGAGGAGTTTCACTGAGTGGTGCAAATACGGACACAGGACACTTTTCAGCACCAAAATAAAGACAAGATCCTGCAGATACTTGTCTGCTAACAGGGGCCTAAGAAGTCCTTCTCCTTTAGCAGCAAACACCAGACAGAAACATAGATAACTTTGAATGAATTATACTTTTATTTGAGTCTTTATAAGAAGCATACTGGCATACCGAAATGTGATTAAGCTCAATTAAAAAGATGACACAATTTAAGCAGAGGGTGGAGCTGAAGCGCGGGGTTAGCAAATGCTAAGACACCAAGCTGTAAAAATGGACATTTTAACATGGGGCTCTATGGGGACTGACTCACTGCAGGACACAGACTCTAGTGGACACTGTTGAAACTGCACTCTTTTTTTAGCACCTCATTTTTTTATCTTAAACTATGTAAAATATTGTCAGTATTCAGGTTTCAAAAAGGGCGCAAAAAGGGGGCGCTTCTGGGGCCTGGATACATGGAGGGGCCCGTCGAGGTTTATTCGTTTTAGTAACTTCAACGTTGACCTGCAACAAACTTTCAGTCAGCTCCAGAAGCTAATCAGAGCAAATCCACAGAGTGGTTAATGTTAGCCAGGAGGCTAATGCTAACGGTACTGATGCAATGTGCATGTGTATATGTTAAATTACATGTGGGGAGGGGCCATAAACGGGGCCTTTCAGGGGCCCGGACATGTCAGTGGGCGTTGCTTTTCCAACCATAATGGAGGATCTGACGGCTGCAGTGATTGAAACGTGACTTTATGTCTCTGAATGATGAAAGAAGGATTATAAAGATGATGCTGTGGTTACATCACACTGCTGACCCCGATTAATTCAGTTTAACTGTGATGTTGATGGTGTGACAGGAATTCATGGCGCCCATCTGAGTTCAAGGTAATTAGTGCAAACATAGCCTGAAACAGCTTACAGCGGGATAGAGTTATTATTTAGTTGAATCACATTTCTTTGGAAATCGTTCCTCTGAGGAGACGCTGATGAAATGTGCTCCAATCATTCAGTATAAATTACTAAAACCTTCGATATTTGAGGTTTGCAGTTTAACATTAAGTTCTTTTTGCGTTTCAGGATCAGCGACTACATGGACCTGACTCCGGTGGACATCGTGGGGAAGCGGTGCTATCAGTTCATTCATGCTGAAGACGTGGAGGGAATCAGACAGAGTCACCTGGACTGTGAGTAACTGTCACCACCTGACGACATCCTTTTCACTGATTGGTCATTCTGACAGGGCTTTCACACGGGCAGGAAACTCCTGAGAAACTCCTGAAGTGTTCGTGCTGAGCTTCATGTGTGAATACAAACAGCTGAATGTTTGAGTTTCTCCTCCAGCCTCCTCGTATTTATTCTGCAGAAAGTCAGAGTGAGCTGATGTGAGAACACAGCAGGATATAATCAGGAGAATTCACCTGGAGCGAGTGGGAGGGGGTGGTGACGTTTATTCCCTGTGATCGCTGCACGACCATAGACTGTCTGCACGCCACCTCTACCATCTCCGTGCTCTAATGAACCTGCTGCTGCATGTTTCCTGTTCTCCAGTATGTTCTTCTCCACTCTTTAGATCAGATTGAGATTCTGTTCAACTACACGCAGCATTGATAGAAAGACAAATATTCTCATTATAGCATCGTAAAGAGGACTCTGTTGCTTCGTCCGCTAACGTCTAACCTCAGGAGACCCGCCCCCTTCTGTCTGACAGGGATAGTCTCCTGCTGTGAGGTGCATGTGTGAACAAACAGATCAGGACAAATTCAGGAGCAGTCATCTTGAAATAATCTAGATATTTTCAGGAGTCTTTGAATTCCATTGCAACCATTCCTGACTGAAGACATTCTCAAATGTTCTTGACCTTTTGGACGCTTTGTCCCCAAAGACGAGGGCTGAAAATATTGGAGTGAAAATATCGGGACAAGCCTCCTTATCTCGGGTGTATCCACCGTAATAAGCGCTTCATAGCCAAAGTATTTCTAGATCAAACTTTACAAGCTAAAGGCCACTTAGAGAGAATCTCTCCTGCATCTCTGAAAGGTTCCCTCACAGCAGCAACTCTACAATCTTATTACCCCTGTCAGGAGGCATAATACACTCCGCCTCTGTGACACACACACACACACACACACACACACACACACACACACACACACACACACACACACACACACACACACACACACACACACACACACACACACACACTCACACTCCGAAGCAGAGGTTTGCTGTCCCTGTTTAGTGGCTGTCGGGATGATTTGCGGCGTGCTGTTTGTTGCTGCGGTCCGATCTTTACTGTGGCGGTAAAAGCCGAGGAGGTGTTCAGAGCTGCACAGCGTTTTCACGGCGTGACGGTATGCAGTGAAGGCGCTTGGGCGGAACGCCAAACAATAACAACCGCAACAGCAAGGACAGCAAGGCATGATGGGAGTCAAACCTCAGACTCGCTGCAGTCTGGTTCTTCTTCAGCTGATTACGGGGGTGAAACAAATGTTGGTTATGTAACATCTCAAATCTTTGAGTCGTCATTCCTATGTTCTCACAGGTAGAGGTGGGACTAAATACGGATACAGCAATATCTCGTCGTGCTGACTCGTGTGGGACCTTTAACGAATTACTCAGATTTAAGCTGACTGCAGGAAGAATGAGGCAGTGTGGAAAAGAAGTAAAGGGATGAAGTGTGATGAGAGGTGAAACTTCACAAATGAATCCTGACCTTGACCTTTTTAGGAGCTTTTGACATTCTTCAGTTAATCAGATATCGTTTTGTACGATTATACGACAGACTTGAATCCATCAGAATCACTGTATCCTGATGTCATCGTAGGCTTCATGAAGCGCATCGTCATCGTGAGATTTTCACTCCGACTCAAAGAAAAATGTCAGTAAATCTATCAGAAAGTTGACCCCAAAGTGGTCGTAGGAAGAGGGTCGTTGATGTCGTCCCAGTAACAACAAAAAAATCTGTCGAGAGTGGTTGCCATGGTTACTTCTTTTTAGCTTTTTGCAGGATTAGCAAACCATGTGCACACTGCCCCCTGCTGTATCGCACTGAGTACATATGCAAGGGTTACTCTCCTGATTGTAAAAAACAATCGTGCCAAATGTGAAAATGCCTTCTGTCATAACATTTTCATGAACTTTTCTACTTCCTTCCACAACAAGTTATTAAAATAAGAATTGATGTATATTTTTAAGTGCATGCGTCTGGCTTGTGAATGTTTTCAGTGGCACAACGATTGAACTTTCTCCTCTAAGGTTTAAGATCAGGAACTTTATTTCTAAGACAGGAACGCTCTTCTTCCAGCTCATAACAACAGATCGTAGAGAATCATAAATCAAACACAGAAACAGTTTCAAATATTGAAATGCATTTTGTTAAACTGCATTTTACCTGCGCGTTTCAGTAACACCTGACAAACGGAACGATGTCACACACCTCGACAGGGAAAATAAAATCCCTCAAACTTTTTCAATTACCATCTGCGAAAGTTCCCGAGCCGTGGCAATCAGGAAGGGACTGTACGGCGGCCTGACGGGGTCAGTCAGAAACACGGAGAGGGGAGGTGAGGATGTGTAAAACATGAGAAAAGAAGGAAGTGAAATACAGAGGGAGATTATTCCTCGCTGTCTGCGGTGAGGACGGAGGTCAGGGAGGCGAGCTGGCAGCTGCACGCTTTAAATGACTCGGTTTTAGTGGAGCGTAGTCTAATACAGCGCCTCCCGTCACCTCCCCTGCTCCTTTTATTCGTTCTTCTTTCAAAATTAATTTCCGCTCTGAAAGGGGGGCTTACAGGAACGGATGGTTCGAGGGCGCTGGAGGTGCTCCGTGTCTCCCCTTCCCTTCATCCTCGCCTGTCAAACGGAGCGCGCTCAGATTGGTCTGAAATCGGCCTTTCTGTGGAGCGTTTGAATCCGAGGCTTGGTGAGCTCGTCGCTGATTGAGAGGGAGCGGATTCAAAGCGCTTTAATTATTCTGTTTTAGGAATAAGGAGGTTTCTCGATTAATTGACAGGAGGAAAGTCTGGTTTGTGTTGACATGACGTTTATCTCTGGTTCACTGTGGACAGAAAAAAAACCTCCATCTACCTTATTACTACTTCAGTATCGTCCTGAAGGACTTCAGGGTTAGGGGCATGGAGACCCAACAGATACATGAGAGACAACATGAGGATAAATGCAGTACAGAGTACAGACGATCCACAGATCAAGAGACCGCACCGAGCCAGATACAAAACAGCATTGTGCAGCGTTAAATAAAGTGCGATCATAAAACAGGAATCTGTCTGTCTGAGTTTTTGTGACTTTTGCACATCGGAGGTTTTAATTCAGGGACTTTGACCCTGATCTAGAAGCTTCCTCTTGCGCCCCTAGAACGCAGCCTGTGGGTGTTGACGGACGAGGGAGCACAGAGTTGTGGGGCGCTGGTGGCGCAGTGACTTGTGCGCGCGCCCCGTGTATGGAGGCTGTAGTCCTCCAAGCAGACGGCCCAGGTTCAAATCCGACCTGTGGCTCCTTTCCCGCATGTCATACCCCGCTCTCTCTATCCACTGTCCTGTCTCTAAATAAAGGCACAAAAAGGCCAAAAAATAAATCTTTAAAAATAGTTGTAACGGAGCAGAGAAGGAACACAATGCACACGTATCTGGAGGAAGTTCTGGGTTTGAAAAACTATCGGAGCCTGTCAGGGACAAAAACAAGAACTTACATGTGATTGTTCCAGGTTTAAAATACTTAAATTACTCTTTTATCACCTATCTGAGAGTCTGGGCGTTTCCGAGTTCTATACCTTAAATCTGAAGCCTTTAGATGTGATAGTTTGACGTTTTTTGATTGAAAAGGGTTAGAGTTATATTTGTTTTCTCAGCTTTCTGTGTGATTGAACACAAACTTCTGTCTCGAGAACACAAAATCATGGTGTTTTCTCAAAGCAGCCTCTGCGTTCAGTCGTCCAGCAGCTTCAGATTAAAGGTGAGAACGAGACTTTGTGCAGTTTTTCTCTCTCTGATTTTGCAGAACAGCAGCAGCTCGCAGCCTCTGATTCTTTGGTGGGATTTATCTCCACGTCCGCGCTCGGTTCCCCCGCTGCTGCAGGAGTCGGATAGTTAGGGAATCGATCAAGGTGTATTTTAGAGGGATAGCCGGTTCTCTCAACAGGGATCTAAATTTTAAAAGGCTCCTTTTTAAGTGGAGGACGAGGCATGATCCCTCTCTGTGAAAAGGCGTCACTCCCTAAGTCTCTATCATTACCTGCTGACAGCCGGTCTTAGCTCGGGTCAGATCTCAAAGTCAATCTGTCCTCGTTTCCACTCCGAGAACAGAGAGAGAGAGAGAGAGAGAGAAAGAAAGAGAGAGAGAGAGAGAGAGAGAGAGCGAGGGGAGCGGGGGAGGAAGTGATTTGTAGGCAGAGAAATACTCGGCAAGGGGGATGAGCCGGGAGATTCGTCTTTTCTCAGAGAAATGTGAACGAGTGATTTGCAGATACAGAAAAAAAAAGAACAGACGACAAAATGCTCATTTCTCATCGCCGAAGATGTTCCGCCCGCCGCCGACTTTATGAGAAATGAAATCAAGAGGCGGCAAAAATAAGAAAAGGGAAAGTATATAAGAGAGACAAATTGACTACGGAGGTCGACGAGGGTCAACGACCTGCAGCAGCCCAAACAATTATCAACAAAGGGTTCTGCAGCACGTTCTATTGTTGCAGCGCGATTCTGTCGTTGCATTTCGTTTTTCGTCGTTTCATTTGCGTGTTTTTCAATTTGCAGAAAGTTTTTCCTAAAGTCAATCAGCAAGTCAACGGATGCTGTCGACCGCCGTAAAAATGTTTCTTTGAGCAGAGAGAGAGGGAGGAGAGGACGCACTAAGGAAGGAAGGAAAGAGAGAGATAAGGTGCTAAGGCAAGGAAAATAAAGAAGAAAGGATAAGGAAAGGATAATAAGGAAAGAAAAGGAAAGAAAGGAAAGGAAAAGGAAAGGAAAGATAAAGAAACGATAAGGAAAGGTAAGGTGGAAGATAAGGTAAGGAAAGGATAAGAAGGAAAGGAAAGCAGTCTAAAAGACTGATTCTCTTTTTGTTTCCTGTCCACACGAGTCCTGATCCTGGACCAGAGTCCTGCTGTCTCCAACTCGACTCGGTGTGAACACTCTGAATTAAAGAAATGTAAATCCACGCAGACAAATATCGTTCTTTTGTTTACCAGGAGAAAAATAATTTAGAACAAAATAAAAATAATACAAATGAAGAGGAAACAGAGAAAGACATTTGAGGAGCGTGGAGAGACGGTATGAGACAGACGGAGAAGACACCAGGAGAGAGAGAGGGAGAGGGAGAGAGGGAGAGAGGGAGAGAGAGAGAGAGACAGGGAGAGAGAAAGGGAGAGAGAGAGGATGAGAGGCGTTCAGGTGCAGTGGGAAAAAAGAGAGAGGGAGGGAGGGAGGGAGAGAGAGAGAGAGACAGGGAGAGAGAGAGAGAGAGAGAGAGAGAGAGAGACAGGGAGAGAGAAAGGGAGAGAGAGAGGATGAGAGGCGTTCAGGTGCAGTGGGAAAAAAGAGAGAGGGAGGGAGGGAGGGAGAGAGAGAGAGAGACAGGGAGAGAGAGAGCAAGAGAGAGAGAGGATGAGAGGCGTTCAGGTGCAGCGGGAAAAAAGAGAGAGAGAAACGAGCACAGAAGTGAACACTCGGAGGATTTAAGCCTGCAGGCGTTTTAGCAGAGCCCATCTCTCTGGACTAACAGGGCCTTTAATGAACACACACACACATACACACACACAAACACACACATCTGTACACATAGTTTTGTAAAACACACAAAAAGTATTTTGGGACGAGGAAAGAAACATGAACGACTTCAATGACATGAGTCACAAACACACACACACGCACACGCACACACACACACACACACACACACACACACACACACACACGCTGTAGACAATTTGATATTGACTGAGACATCACCTGTTTCACTTTTTACAATTTAAAGGTGAATAAAAGTTCTGTATTTGTATGTCTAAGTTTCATTACACTATCACCTCAATGACATTGTGGCACACACACACACACACACACACACACACACACACACACACACAGGTGAAACGGGGTAAAGGTACTCTGAAAGGTAGACGAGACCAAAGAGGAAATCCATCAGATCAAACAGAAGAAAGAGAGCTAAAAAAAAAAAAAAGAAACAGGTGAAAGGGGCGAGAAAATGGAGGGGGGAGAAAGGGAAAAAAGAGCGATAGACTCGGAGTGAAAGAAAAAAAGGTGTGACATTGAGTGAAAGAGAGAAAGAGGAGGAGAGCTGACGGAGGAAATGAGGAGAAAAAAGTGAGGTGGAGAGGCTTTAAAAGGGAATAGAACTCCTTTAATCTATCGCTCACTCTCCTGCAGCCTCGGGCGAGCCTCCAGCACTCTCTCTCTCTCTCTCTTTCTCTCTCTCCCTACTCCTCTCCTTCATTAGCGGGCGATCAGAGGGTGGGTGATTTAATGGAGGAGTAAGAGGAGAGGGTTTACATGCAAACCTCACCTGTAAGACGAGGAGAGAGAGAGAGACAGGAAGTAGACAGGTTCAGTTAGCATATCTTAAAGCTTCCTATTTGATTCCACGAGGATCTGAAGGGATAATTCCACTATTTTACAACCTGCACAGTGACATTATAACATACTCTCAGGTCTAAATGACTAATAGAAACAACATGTTTGGACCTGCTCCACTAAATAGTTTCATCCTGCAGCCCGGAAACAGACTGTGATGGCTGTAGTGTTCAAAACGAGTATTACTGAGTCGATGCTCATGCAGGTTGTCATGTGGTGGACACTGAAGCTTCAGTGTTTATCCAGCTCTGCATCGGTCTGTAAACCTTTCTGTGTTCTAACCTCTCTCCATTTTTCAAAAGCATCTCCAATATTGATCCTAGTTTGAGCACGTTTCTGCTCATGGAGCTTATTAGAAACATGCAGAGGCTTTTTAGGTCGGGTACAATCACTTCTATCTGAACCACTTCTCTTGCCCACTTCCATCGCTGCAACACCTGTTGGTTTGACCTGATAACTGCTCTCATATCTGGCAAACTGAGGGGCGTCCCAAACGGCCATGTGGGGGTGCCTTAAAACCTCCTATCTTCTCTGGTCCAAACAAATCCAGCGCATTCAGGAGCAGAATCTAAAGTTAGAAGGAGGACATCCTGGCTGCTGCACTTCAGCAGGTGTTTCTGCTTCATGAAGATCTTCTTCCTCTTGAATAAAAATGTCTTTCTCTGTAGAGATCCTCTCTGTGATGTAGTCAGACAGGATGGGAGCCTGTCAGGGACAAAAACAACAACTCAAAGTTACTGAAATAAACTGTTGAAGAGTAAAAACTCCAGAATAAGAATCAGCAGGAAGGTCAGTGTCAGTATTGATTACGTGGCCCCTCATACAGTATGTCCTGAATATTGATCGTAAGTGTGTTGTGGTGTGTATCGAACATCAGCTGACAGCATGGATTCATGTGAGACTGTGTGTGTGTGTGTGTGTGTGTGTGTGTGTGTGTGTGCTGTACGCCACAGTGTGCAGTCTGCTGGAGTTATAAAGCCCTGTATTAACGTGTGTGTGTGTGTGTGTTTGTGCACTCTTCCATTGGACATGCTGATACACTGAGCTGTTCTCTGAGGACCTGCAGTCATCTGAACAGTGTGTTTGTGTGTGTGTGGTGTGTGGTGTATGTGTGTGTGTGTGTGTGTGTGTGTGTGTGTGTGTGTGTGTGTGTGAGAGAGAGTGTGTGTGTGTGTGTCTGTGTGTCTGTGTGGTGTGTGTGTGTGTGTGTCTGTGTGTGTGTGAGGGTGTGTGTGCGCACTCATTGTGTCGTTATTTACTCTGCCGTACAAACAAAGCAAGGTCACATTCAAGGTGACGTGATCTCACCATCTCTGCCTTAACATGCAAACAAGTTATTTTCCCTCCATCTCTCGCTCGCTTGCTCTCTCTCTCCCTCTCTCTCTCTCTCGCTCAATCTGCAAACAGAGACCCAATGTCGCCCGACCAAAGTCAATTACAGCGGCCCTGGGGATGTCGTCTTAAACAATGCTATTAGTTTCTAATAGTTTTAATTACTGGCCTTCTTTTTGTATAAATCAGGCCTACTTCCTCTCTGTCGAGGAAAATCCTATTTGTGTGCGTAATTAAACGGACGAGAGGGATATGAATTGAGCGGCCCCTCGCCCCCCGTCTCCGGCTGTTTCTGTTCGAGCCGCTCCTGATTAATGCCAATACATATTGCTTGAGATAACCATTTAGTGGTTAATTTAGCCAAATTTATTGCCTGCGTGCCGTCGCTGGGCGGAGCAGTGGGTGGGGGTGTGGAGGGGAGGGGAGGGGGGGGGCTGCAACCTTCCCCAAGACTACATGGTCCTCATACGGTGACACAGCACTACCTGGTGGAGAAAGGCGGGTACTGCAGCTCTGTAAAGGGGAATGTTTATCTTAGATTTTAACGCATTTTAAAAGCAAAAACTCTAATAATCAAAGGTGAGAGGACTCATGGACGGATTTGTCCCAAAATTAACCCAAGAAGAAGAAGAGCAGGATTCACTGCACGGTGAAGAAAACAGGCTAAACACACAGACTGTAAATATAAATGGACAAAGCCTGAGTGCCATCACCCGTCTGTTCCTGCAGGGGGCTCTGGAGTCCCATCGATGGCGGTCTCCATGCTGGAAATGCTGTCTCAGCCTAACTTTCAGTCAACGTAACGACAGGCTGAGAGCTGGAGCTGAGGCGGGTTTGAAGCCTCCTGACAAACCGTTACACCGCACCCACCTGTCAATCATGTCAGCTACACGCTTTACTGTGAATAACTCTTATCCTTCATCAAATCAAAACTGATGAGTCATCAAAACATTCACCTCCCCCGTACAGTGTGTGCTGATCGAGACATGAGCTAATCACAGCTATTTGTCTTTTTGAACCAGGCTGTAAACATGTTAATCTCTGCTGTAAAAAACAGGGTTTTTAGAATGGGTGTGTATGTGACTTCCTGTGCTTCTGCAGCCAGCCTCTAGTGGACACTCGAGGAACTGCAGGATTTTGGCTTTTCAGCATCTTTTTTTTCAACACTGGAGGTTGTGTCGGATACACCCATACACTGTCCTGTCCTCAGGGATGCAAACATGCTATTGGTCAACATGCTTCAACTTTACATTTGTGTGTTCATGTGTTGAATTAGCACACAGCTGCAAAACAACTGTTGTTTTATGAAGTTAATATATCTCAGTATGAGTTTGTATTGTGTTAGTCCTATCAGAGACACACAGACATCAACACACACACACACACACACACACACACACACACACACACACACACACGCACACACGCTCAGAGGCTGGCAGTGTGTGTTGGTCTGATTAATGACAGCGGCAGCAGAGCAGCTCACAGCCAGCTGTCATATGACACCTGATGACTGACTCTCTCTCTCTCTCTCTCTCTCTCTCTCTCTCTCTCTCTCTCACTTCCTGATTGTGTCTCTCGCCCTGCGTCCAAACGCTTCCTTCCTTTGTCCTTTTTTTTTCTCTCTCTCGTGTGATAAACAACCAGCTCCGTCAGTGTGATGTCAAACAGATCGGACACAAGATCCAACATAAGCTAACACCCCTCCTCTCTCTCTCTCCTCTCCCTCTCTCTTTCTCAGTGATGAATAAGGGTCAGTGTGTGACAAAGTACTACCGGTGGATCCAGAAGAACAGCGGGTACATCTGGATCCAGTCCAGCGCCACCATCGCCATCAACGCCAAGAACGCCAACGAGAAGAACATCATCTGGGTCAACTACGTCCTCAGGTCAGAGGTCAACTAGAATCAGCTGTCATAGTGATGACAGTAACAGGGTCATTAGATCGACACGCTCCCAAACTTTGTGTTTTTTTTATAGAAAGAGAAAAATTGAAAAGCACATAAAATTGCCCACATACCAAACCACATTGGACGATTAAAATCAGGTCAGAATGATGCATTATAGGTCACATATTCAGTAAAATAAACTTCCCCACCAATGATGAGAAAAGTCCATCCTCTCCGTCTTCTGCCTGCTCCACTTTTCAGAAAATGTGTGCTCAAACAGGCTGTTTGGACATTTTCCCTTCATGACATCACAAAGGGCAGTAGCCCCTCCCCCAGGTGGGTGACACTCCCACAGCTAGGTGTTTGTTCTGCCCTCTGAGTCTGCCTTCTCACTGTGAACAATAAGACGTGGAGCGAGAAAGACCGAGTACACCCAAGTCCTTCCAGAGAGGGGGCGTGGTCAGACACAGATCATTTACCGTAAAATCCGGTATATAAGACGCACCCTGTTTTGAAGGTCTCTTTGAGAGAATAAAAACGTTTAAACTGTTTTCCTGCGTGAGGATTTATATTGTGTTCAGCGATGTCTACAACGTGCATTTTCTGTGCAGCTGTGTCGTTCTTTTCGTTCCGTCTTTTTTCATGTTCGGGAGTTTGTGCTCCTACTATCTACATGATATGGTATGGTAGTTGAGCTCTCAGCCTGCAGGGAAAGTTGGCAGAGGCACAGACTTCTAGCTTGCAAGCTGCGCTGCCCAACACCGCTCGTCACTCTTTAACTTTAATAGAGGACTTTCTCAATCAAAAGAGCACCCCACAATGTTTATTTACAGAACAATATACCACTGTTTTCACCGGTGTATAAGACGCAGCCAACTTTTAAGATGAAAAAATAGGTATTAAAAGTGCGTCTTATACACCGGATTTTACGGTACATTTAAAGGTACAGACACAGAAACAGCCTGTTCTGAGCAGGGCTGAAATAGAGGGATTTATAGGCATGATCAAATACAGGATCAGAGTGGATTTAGAACTAGAAACTGTGTTTGCAAAGGGAGTCTGGTGACAGCCAGTTTATGGTGTGTATGGATTTAAGACTAAATGAGGAGATTAATCAGCAAATGTTAATGTTATCATTTGCGTGTTCCTTCACAGTAATCCAGAGTACAAAGACACGCCCATGGACATCGCCCAGTTGCCGAACCTGCCCGAGAAAACCTCGGAGTCCTCGGAAACCTCCGACTCTGAGTCCGAGTCCAAAGAGAACTCTGGTAGGTTGGAAAGAAGGAGATGGAAGCTGTTAAATGTCCATAAAAGACAAATGTTTTTCAGAGAGAAAAGGTTGGAGTAGAAACAGTTTCAGTCAGAATCATGCAAAGAAAGATGGAGAATCTAAAAAGAGTAAACTCAGCGCTGTAAGAGGAAAAGATGGATGAAAAGAAAATGTCTCTAGCAGAGTATCATGTAGTGATTCTCCTGTTTCATAAAACCTTTATGATTCCTAACGAGCATCTCCACAGTGTCACAGTGTAGTATATAATAAGCAGCAGTAAGCAGTAAACAGCTCCAATCAGAGCAGCCAGAGATATTTTATCAGTTGGTGCCAGCGTGCCGTTTGTGCCAGGCTGGATGGAGACGAACGCCAACCGCTGCAGGGACTCGGCACTTCCTGGCGTCTCTGCAAACCAACCCAAAATGACATAAAACACAGCATAACTCTACACAACAACATGAAACGACTCCAAAAACCCTCACACATGTACACACAAAGGGCCACAAAGCGTGACAGAACAGCCTCCAAAAGATGCACCAGAACAACTCGAATCCCACAAAGACCAACGAAAACATCGATACATGCAGCTGCTCGAACGTTTCATCTACGGTCAGCGTGAAAAAGTTTAGATCGGGCCAACGAGTCTATGAATCCAGCAAACTCTCTGAGCAGGTTTCAGCGACTTCACAGTCAAGTGCATAAAAAGAAGAGAAACAACATACAAAAACCTCTGTGTCCTGCATTGTTGTGTTAGCATGCTAATGTTAGCGCTCTTTAGTAAGCTCTCCAAATAATCAGTGAGTATGTTCTTCTCTCTAGTTCTTGACTAAAACAGCTTTTATACTCAAGGGGAGGAGCCGGCCGTCTCGTCCATGTAAACACGACTCTCACAACAACACAGCCAGCGGGACTCGAGCTTCTCACTCATTGTAGACAGTCATTACTCAGAGACACATTTACACAGGATAGACTTGATTTATGATTTATTGATGTGGAACATGTCGCACATTTTTCCATTAAGCACTACAAATATTTAAACCTACTGGGGGCAAATCTAAATAATCTCCACAGAAACACAATAGCTAACATATCCTCGTCCATAACAAGAGTGAGCGCTCACTCAGACGGAGAAATGAAACCTTAAAAACAGAAATCACATCCAGAAATACAAATCAAGGATTAATTTAGCATGTGCACCAACATCTCAAGCAGCCAATACAGAAGCAGACAAAGCTCACACGGTGCCAGTATAGTTGAATTAAAACCAATACAGGGCCTCCACCTTGAGCATAATATTATCGAGTGCTGCAGCCTGCGTTGGCATGATGACGATCGCAGCCAGCTGTTCTTCTTGCTGGAGGAGAATGATTCTGGCACCGTGTCGGCTGTAAACTGACGCCAGCTGCTGCGGGCGGCGGCCAGCTTCAGTCGGGCTCCAACAGGCTTGAGGTGTTCAGGATCAACATATTCTAAAATGAGATATCCGACCTTTGACCTTTGTTCTGTTTGGATGCAATCTGCACAGAGACAGAGAGGACACGAGGATCCGAGCCAAAAACAAAATGTCCTTTTGCTGTTTTTGAGTAATTTAAGTTATAAGTGTATCAAAATGTATTATTTGTGATGATTAATAGATTTTTTATTCTTTTTAAACCGGAGCCATTTTATTCTTCATATGAAGGAATGTAAAAGCATTAAAGGTACTGAAAAAGTTTCTCTGGTAGATTGCTTCTTTATGCTGTTAGGGCTGCAACATACAGAAACTGGAAGTGTTGTATTGAATAAGAGACTTTTCATTAAAGGCGGAGTCAGTAGAAATATTTGTAAACACAACATTCAAACTGGGCCCCTCCTCCTCCAGAAGCTCCGCCCCCTGCAGGACATAGTGTGTAAGTTTACTGCTTTTATCTACACTGCAAGCTACTGCACACTAGCACAAGCTAACCACCGGTGTTTGTCACCTGCCTGTCAAACAGGAAGCAGACAAACTTCACGTACTCGGTAACAGCCAACACAAGGTTCACCCTTGTTTTAGAACAAGCTTTAAATTTAGAAAAAAAAGTTCAAACACATTGGTATTCCCTTTAACCTGCTTTGGTGAAGACACATAATTCTTGTAATCCAACCGCTACTTCAGTGTTTGAGTTCAGATCTAGTCCAGAATATGATTTCCACTTGGTAGCTTTAATCTGACCCGGCCTGCATCCGATGCTCTGCGTTGTCTCTTCTGTGAATCCATTTCAATTTAAAGTTACTAAAACGCTCGTCTCCATCCTTATTAATCAGTGGAAACACACGAGGACCGACAGGGGAAATAAGTCCAGGACTTAATAAACCTGACATATCCTGATATGAGTTAGTTTATGAGTGTTGTCTATAAACCCAACGTAAACCCTCCCCGGGTATCACTTACAACCTGAGAGTTTATTTTTGATTCCATCCTGAGAATAAACCTGTCTTGCTTTGAAAGCACGCTTAATAAAGACGCAAGCTTTTCCCCAGACAGAGCAATTGAGCCGACATTTCAGGTGCCATCGGGGAGTCTGAGCAGCGCCAGCTGGGCAGCGGCTGCCCTCAGTGTGATCTGGCAGGGTGTGTGTATGTGTGTGTGTGTGTGCGTGTGTGTAATGGGCTGGACAGAGCCAACATGCCTGAACAGCAGCAGCTACAGATACTGAACACACACCATCGCGTCAACAACACATCTCAACACAGGGAAACCTGTCGGGTAAAATAAAAGGGTCATAACCTGAGACTACTGCACAAGTACTCAAACTGAATGCTCAATATCTTCAGAACAGAAGGTTTGATATTCAGACACACTAGAGAGTTTATTCTTTACTTAGTGCTATTTCATACAAAGTTACTGCAAAGACAAAAATACAAAGATGAAAAATTTGTTCCGGGAAAACACGACTTCCACCTGATGTTGAAAAATGAAGCCAATGCTTCGAGTGTCCACTAGAGGCTGTCTCCTGCAGTGAGTCAATCCCCATAGCCAGTATGTCCTCCTTCTAACTTTGGATTCTGGTCTTGAATGCTCTGGATTTGTTTGGACCAGAGAAGGTAGGCGGTTTTAAGGCACCCCACGTCGTTTTGGATGCCCCTCGGTTTGTCAGATATGAGAGCAGTTATCAGGTCAAACCAACAGGTGTTGCAGCGATGGAAGCGGGCAAGAGAAGTGGTTCAGATAGAAGTGATTGTACCCGACCTAAAAAGCCTCTGCATGTTTCTAATAAGCTCCACGAGCAGAAACGTGCTCAAACTAGGATCAATATTGGAGATGCTTTTGAAAAATGGGGAGAGGTTAGAACACAGAAAGGTTTACAGACCGATGCAGAGCTGGATAAACACTGAAGCTTCAGTGTCCACCACATGGTGACCTGTGTGAGCATCGACTCTAGAGAGGAGGGGGCGGGGGGAGACAGCTCTCTACAATATTATCGGTCCAATCATCGGTAAGGCCATGGTTGACACTGAAAGTTGTCTTGGAGTATCTTAAACAATGTTCATTTTTCTCTTCAACAGACAACGAGAACGCCAAGTCTGAGGGGAAGCCAGGCCACCAATCAGAACGTAGCGAGGACCCCGAGGCTGACAGCAAGCGTCAGCAGCCCGGCCAACCACATTGCTCCTCGGAACAGGAAATGAAGCGTCAAGAAGAAGGAGACAGCTCGAGTAACCCTGAGAGCCAGGACAGTGACGACAGTCTTGAACCTTCAGATGTTGAGGCGGAGGAAGTGGAGGAGGCAAGTGTAGGAGGAGGTGGGGGAGGAGGTGGAGGAGGAAGGCTGGGGAGATTGACGGGACTGGGAGCGTTAGGGGGACTGGGTGCCATTGGAGGACTAGGGAATCTGGGAGGGCTTCATATTAAAGTAGAGCACTATGGAGAGGGGGAGGAAGTACAGCTGCACAACTCTCAAACTTCTTCCTCAGAGGAGGAGGAAGAAGAGGAGGAGGAGGAGGAGGAGGAGGAGGCAGACGATGGCGGCATACAAAACTGTGATGCCGGAAGCAGGCTCCAGAAGAGGCGGAAGAGGAGGAAAGTGCAAAAATGGGATGGATCCCGAAGCAGGAGGCTCCGTCTCTCCTCAACGACGCCAAGCCCTGTTAACATGGGAGACACCACACCGCTCGTAGACCCATCCCAAGCCACCAACTCCTCCCATCTCCTCACCGCAGCCGGCTCCCCAAACAGCCCATGTGCATCGTCAGTCCTGAAAATCAAGACAGAGATGGCAGAGCCGATCAACTTTGACAACGACAGCAGCATCTGGAACTACCCGCCCAACAGAGAGATTTCCAGAAACGAGTCGCCGTACAGCATGACCTCCAAACCAGCCGCCCCCGGCAGCCATGACTCCTTCCCGTCTCCCCAAGGAGGCTCACTGCAGGTAGCGATTCCCGACTCAGTCCTCACTCCTCCTGGAACAGAGGGAGGCGCAGGAGGAGTGAGGAAGACTCCGTATAACGGAAGCTCAGCCCCGTCTTCGGCTTCCAGCGCTGCAAGTTTAGCTCCTCCCTCCAGCGCCTCCTCTGCTGACCCCCTGTCCCCTCCTCTCTCTGCCTCGCCACGGGACAAGCAACAAGGCACCCCCACCACCTCCTCCTCTTCTTCCTCTTCGTCGTCCTCCTCGTCGTCCTCGTCAACCTCCTCTTCCTCACTGTTGTACTCTGGCGAACTCGAGGCGCTTCAGCGTCTGCAGGCTGGTAACGTGGTGCTCCCGTTGGTGCACCGCGTCACAGGGACTCTGGCCTCCACCAGCACAACGGCTCCACGGGTTTACACCACCGGGACCATCAGGTACGCACCGGCGGACGTCACACTGGCCATGGCGCAAGGCAACCTCCTCCCCAACGCTGCCATGAATTTCGTCGACAGCTCCGGGTTTGGTCTGGACCCAAAGACGCCGATGGAGATGCTCTACCACCACGTCCACAGGTTAAACATGTCCGCAGCAGCTGCCGCCGGCCCCTTTGTCGGATCTCCAGCGGTGACGGGTACCAACGGCGCCCTGGGAGGCCAGATGCCGACAGCAGCAAATGTTTTCACCACAGCGGAGGGACTTTTCTCAACGCTACCGTTCCCGGTGTACAGCAACGGGATCCACACCACACAGACAACTCTGGAGAGGAAGGAGGATTAACGCGAAATGTTCGAGACCGCATTACTGTGTTCAAGGAATCAACGACAAGACTGCTCACTAGGAAAGGAAACAAAAGACTTTTTACTTTCTTTTATCAACACAGCACTGTGTTTCTGAGAGCGGGGGAAGGACAGGAGAAGGACGACAGATGTACTCTAGCACTTTGAACCTGAGCAACTGAGCTTGTGTAATAGACATGAATGACCCTCAAACATGTCCCACTTTTCTATCTTCTCTCTCTCCTCCTCATCCTCTTCGTCTCCTCTCTGCGTCTGTCTCTTCGCTCCTGTTTCTTGCGATCAGCGAGGTTTTTTTCTCCTGAACAAATGAACAAATACAGACTTTCTTTATTGTAAAGAATTCCTTTTTTTGCCTACAGAGAATTCATATGACCTGAGGACTCCGCTGGAGCCTGACGGGATCATTTTTATTATTTGTCTTGTTTCTGTTGCGTCTTTATGAAGATGCTGATTGTTTGTATTTAAAGGAGGACGCTGCAGGGATTTGTAATGGACAGCAAACTCTGTGCGGCGCTCCTCCGTATGTTTCTTGATGTGATCAAGACGTGAAAAGTTTTTAAAACCGAGAAGAGGGAGCTTTCCTCCTGGAAAAGGTCTCCGAGATAATAATCTTTTAAAAAAAAGGTTTTTGAGGAAGTTTCTCGATCGAGGGAATAGTTTAGAGAATTAATTTGTCTTTAATTTCTTCCGTTTTTTTTTAATAAAAATACTCAGACTTAACTTACAAATCAAGCATTACGAAGAAAAACAAACAAAAAAAGCAATTTCAGCCGGGTAATGACCTGTGAAATCTCGAATGTTACTACTTCCTCTTTTATCCCAGGAGTTTATCTACAGGTCTCGCACCGAACATAACCTCCTCTTCCATCTCTACACATCTCAATCTGTCGTTCTCTCTCTCTCACTTTCACTCCGACTGATCTTTAATCTCGCCGTCTGCATTTCTAGCTGTCGATCTACAGATTCATGGTGCTACCGACCGTCCAGTAACCCTGATTCAGCTGGCTGATATGGGTGCTGTAAACGACCCACGGCTCGCTGACAGACTGACCGCGTTTGTTTGTTTTTGGAGGGGGAACCATTTTAAACTTTGTTTTTACTCATCTGACCTTCAGGAAAGTCAGAAACGCAGCAAGAACCTTAAAACCTCCAAGTCAGCGAGATCACCTCCATGTGTCCGTCTGATTGGACCGTGAGGGGCAGCTCTGCCCGGCAACATGGAGATGATTGGTTGAATTTTAGGCTGTGTAGAGCTGTTTTTTTTTCTAACTTAATCACTTTTAATTCTCAGTCAAACTGAGGCTAATATGCTAGTGACGCTAACTTGAAAAATGAATGTTGAAAACCTCGACCGACTTCCTGTTTTAACGCTCTTTGTTTTCTGTTCGTTCCTCGTCTTCGTTTATCTCCTCCTCCTCCTCCTCCTCCTCTTCCTCTTCGTCTTCTTCTTCCTAAACCAGAATCACCTCCACAACAAAGATGTTTCCTAAACGATCCACTCTCTTCCATCTCATCGCCGGACCCTGTGATTAAAAACCACATATCAACACGGAGATTGTAATAAAGACATTTTGCATTTTTCAATCAATCAAACTCTCAAAACAATCAATCCAATAACGAACAAAAAAAAATATATATGACAATTTGTTGAGGAAGAGAAAAGAAATTCACATTCCTTTAAACGATGTTGTCTTTGTCGTTGTTTCCGTTACGTGTTTTTTCCTCCCTGAGCCTCCGTTTGCCAAAAAAAGAAAAAAAAAAAAGATTTCTCCCGTTTTGGTGTTTTCAAGCACTGTGATTCTCGTTCATTTGTACGTTTCCTTCTTTTTGGTACAAAGAGAAAAAAAAAGATGAGAACAAGTAATAAAAAAAAAATACTGTCACATCCATCCGACTTTTTCAAGTTGACAGCCCCGTCTTTAACCATCCCGTCATCCTTATTACCCAGTGTGATTACGCCGTGAAAACGTGTTACCTATGTGTTTAGTGTCACTGGCTGTCAAAGAGTCTCTCATGGCGACTTCTCTCTCTGTGTGTGTTGACTATATGCAGTATATACTGAGCTACTGTAGCTGTTTTTGTCCTTTGTCTTCTCTGTGCTCTCTCTAGTGTGGGGGAGGGGCAATGGGCGGGGCCACATTGAGAGAGAGGGAGGGGCGGGGCCTATTTTGGATGATTTCCTACACCAATGGCACGGCCTCGCGCCTCCTCTCTCAGCCCGCCTCTTTCTCCCTCGCCCTCTCTCTGCAGTCTTAGTGAAACCAGTGGAGGTTTGTGGAATTTCGTGTTCGGTGGCCTTTGCAAAAAACAGAAAAAAAACTTTGTAGAGTCCACCTTTTTTTCCGCTGCTTCCTTTTTCGTCTTTGTAAGAACTTTTCCGTTTGTTTTCTAATCCTCTCTCTCTCTCTCTCTCTCTCTCTCTCTCTCTCTCTGTCTCTCTCTGCTGTTGCTTTTCGCTGTTGTGTAGTCTTAAAACAAACCTCTTTATCTTGCTGTCCTTTCTCTCAGAGATGAAAAAGATTCTTTAACTAGCTCAAAGGTTTATGGAGCCATGTTTTTTCGCCGCTAAGGAATTCTGGGAATCGCAGTTTCCAGCTTTTGCATAAATGACTAATAAATATTTACACCACGTAAGAATAAATTAAGAAAAGGGAAAAAGCCTAAAGTAGCGTTTTTGTTTTATTTTGTTTTCAATGTAGTCCTGGAAAAACCGTAAAAGCCTCAGTTGTGAAACATTTCCCAGAGTCCCTTGGGGCTTCTTGTGTGCATTGGGTGTATTTCATTGGTTCCCACCAAACTTGTTGACTTCCTGCGCAAACTTCTCTCAAATCAAGTTACACAAGTGGTTCAAGGGGGGAGAAAAAAAAAATCTATTTCAGGACACGTAATGAAAAAAAAAAAAAAAACGGTTTTAAAGATTTCTTAAGAAATTAAAAGAAGAAAAAAATATTTCGCACTATAAATCTATTTTTATAGGTGTTTTGGAAAAAACGGAACTGCATGTTTAGTAAGTTCGTCCGATGCGTTTCACGTGACCAATCCCGTGTTTTTTGTTGGTTTTTTGTTTTCATTTTTGTCCATCGTTTTTGTGTTTTGTTTTTTTCACACGTGTCGAGCCCAAACAGGGACGTGAAGGAGGCCCGCTGAAAGGATCAAGTCTGTACCCGGGCCCCTGGTCCCCCCCTCCCCTCCCCCGCTTATCAGGAAAAACAATCTGTAGCGTCCGTGCTTTGTGTGACCAATCAATGTCTAACATACAACAAGCAGCAGGCGAGGGAATCAAACGGTGGATTGATTTATTTTTGTCTTCGGTAACGGGGAGCGTGCTTCGGCGCCGCTCGTTCTGTCGGTTGAATGTTAAATTCAGGAGCTTTTTGTTCGCGCTCCTTTGGATTTTAGCGTTTTCTACTTTTGGAGGTTTCGCTTGAAAATGGGGGGGGGGGGGGGGGCACAACGGAAAGGCAGGTACCCCATGATAGGGAAAGGGGGGGGGGGGGGCACATAACTCAGACGAAACCAGGAAATACACCCACATGTAACAAAAACCAAACAGCCAGTCCAAGCTGTTTCAATGTTTTTCTGTGTTTTATGTCGAAAAATGAAAACTTTGCTGGTGATTTTAAAAACGTAAAAACCTTAATCACAGCTGCTGTCAAAAATACATCGTGTTTAAGAATGACGAATATTGAAAATCACTTCATTTACCTGTGAAGAAACTGTGTCTGTGTTTTTAACTATTTCTTGTACAATTATACAGATTCTTTTATGAGGAACTTGGTGCCAAGTAGCCGAAATACGGGAGAGAGGGAATCTCTTATTATCAATGTTAACAGTGTTATAAAATTCTAAATACAAACAAATTAAAATATTAAAAAAGAGAAAACTATGGTACATTTCTATGTTTTATTTCCCTTTCTTTCCCCTCGCAGAAGAGAGGAAGAACACACGACTAACTGATGCTAACTTTGAGTGCCTGGCTTCTGTTTGACTCTTATTTTATTTTGAAAAAGCATCTTCTTTTTGAGTTACTTTTTCCATGAATAATGCTGCAAACCCGAGTGTGTACATACTTCATTTTTATAGCGGTTGTTCTTTTGTAAGTTTGCTAGGTTCTCATCCGCTCAGAGGAACATGTCACACACATGGTCGTCTTTCTGTAACCCGGTTTTGACCATCTTACAGGTGCCATATTCATAATAAAAATTTCTCTCGAATTTGTTACCGGATTGCATCATTTCTTCTGTTGGATACATTCATCCTGCTGCCCGCCAAAAATATGACAAATGCTGCCACCTTTCAGAAAGCTGCTTCCCTCCTCTGCTCGCCTCTATTTTTTTTCTTGTTTCCTGTTTTGTCTAAAGAGCGCCACGGCCGACTCTTGACGGAAGGAGTTAAATTTTTATTTACAACAAAGTTAAGGCTAAATTCCACCAGATGTGTGTTCACATTAGCAATGCTGATAGTTTTTAACTTTATTCAGTGTGTGCTTCCACTCGCTCTGCTCCGTCTCAGCTCCGCCAGTCCAGAGTCTTCTGCAGCAGATACACAAGACTTCTATCTCTGCAGGATGCCGGAGCACGAAGCATCAATTCACCACAGAGCAGATCGAGCAGGACAGGAAGTCAGACACCGAAACAACATTAAAGCATCCGGTTTATTTTTAGAATAAAACACTGCGGTTTGATGGTTAAAAACAATGACCTTCTGTGTGTTTGTTGATGTGTTTATAAAGGTTTCATATAGTTTCATACCACATACATTGTATTGTCTTGCGCTGTCGCAAGTGAATCTAGTTGCTGCAGGAACTCCTTTGTCTCAGGACCTCCAGCTGTCCGGCGGTGCTGCTCCATGCTGCGCTCTGAGAACGCAGCCTGTGGGTGTTGACAGACGAGAGAGCGCGGAGCTGAAACGCAATGCACACGTATCTGGTGGAAGTTCTGGGTTAATGAGTTTAAGAAATATTATGAGATGTGGAAGTCAGCTGTGTAAGGGTGTATGCATGAGTGAAGGAAGGACGGGTGAGGTTCGGAGCGTGGCTAAATTGGGGCGCAGCCTCTGTCTGTCTCCCAACAATGAGGAAGTGCTGCTTTATGGATTGGGAACACCCGGCCCAGGTGTTGTCAACTCATGACGACCCAGACACACCTACCGTTACCTGAGGAATCAGCAGACGTGAACAAAGAGTCACTCACAGTTATTCAGATTATTACCATCAGTGCTGGTTTATGTTCATCCAGCCATCATCGTTCCAATCAGTTTTTTTCACTTTTAATACCTTCCCCCTCTTCTTCTTCTTCTGGCCTGTATCATCTCCCCTCCCCCTCCCTCCCCCTTTCTCCCCCCCCCCCCCTCCTGCAGTAATAAGAGAGGAGAGGTCAGTCAGTCGACCCTCTGAGGCCGCCCAGCAAACTTTAAATATTTCACACTATTTTAAATGAGCGCACATGAATCATAGATCACAGGCAGGGCTTGTGTGTGTGTGTGTGTGTGTGTGTGTGTGTGTGTGTGTGTGTGTGTGTGTGTGTGTGTGTGTGTGTGTGTGTGTGTGTGTGTGTGTGTGTGTGTGTGTGTGCGCGTGTGTGTGGAGGTGCTCGGACCTGAAGCTCCTTCAAATAACCTCTGGCTGTCCGTCTCAGCGAGGAGGTCTGACGGTGAATTCAGATCTGGCAGCGTCAGGCGTAACGAGCGGCCTTTCATCACAGGCCGTGATGGACGGATGATGAAACAAAGCATTAGAGATGAAAACTTAACCGTTTTTTTATTTATATATTTCTTTTGAATCCTTCTGCACTTTCACAGGGGCCATTCTCCTTAACTCCCAACATGCACCAGGACTCCAAACATCACAAAACCTTGTAAAACTGATGTGGAGACACGCCGTCGCTTCTGGAGACACAATGTGACGTTTAAGTTCCTGAAGAGAAGTCGGGCTTTTAATCATCCTGCAGGGACTCTGAGCTGCTTGAAAGAGAATTCATATTGACTGTGTTATATTTATCTCCGGCCTGCGCTCAGATATGTGCGGTAAATGTTGCATTGTGGGATCATTGGAGGCACCTACATGAAGAGAAGTGATTCTCACTTGACCTGATCTCAGGATGGACCTGTGAAGTGCAGGATGACAAACATCAATATTTCTTTCTCTCTCTCAGCATGTTTTACTCTGTCTTGTCTTGGATTTTAAATCAAGACCACCACTGATCTTTTATTTGTCCACGTCATCACTGAGATTAGAAGGAAAACATCTCTTTCTAAAAGAACAAAAAAGAAACTTCAAGTCATTTGTAGTTTGACTTTTTTCCAATGGTTACGGCCGCAACCTTCCCGGTGTTACAGTCTAAGTGAGTGACACGCCTCCTAAACACAAGGTGATGATTTCTGCAGTGATATTTATGGTCTCGGAGCACTCTGGTCTCGGTTAGTGTGGTCTTGACCACAACACTTATTGCCATACTACATACTACTGTGGAACGCAGTATGCAGCACATACTATGTAGTAGGCGGTTTTATAAGCAGCCTCTCTGTTGATGAATCTGAGGAGCTGTCCGTGGTGCTGAAGTCCATCCATCCATCCATCCATCCATCCATCCATCCATCCATCCATCCATTTTCTTCCACTTATCCGAGGTCGGGTCGTGGTGGTAGCAGGCGCAGTAAGTCAACCCAGACTTCCCTCTCCCCAGCAACGTTTTCCAGCTCCTCCTGAGGGATTCTGAGGCGGGATATATAATCCCTCCAGTGAACTCTGGGTCTGTCCCGGTGTATCCTCCCAGTTGGTCATGCCTGGAAAACCTCTAAAGGGAGATGTCCAGGAGGCATCCTTAACAGATGCCCAAACCACCTCAACTGGCTCCTTTCGGTGCTGAAGTCATGATTTTGAATTTAGTTCCCTCAGTCCCACCTTCATGTCAGTTTCATCTGTTTTCATGGATCTACAATCTCAGGATCCATCAGCTAACTCTACCTCTGATGTAGCTGTTGCCTTAGAAGTAGGGATGTAAAGATTCATCGTAAAATCGCGAGAAATTGATTCAAAGGGGTCAAGATTCACATCGGTACTCTGAAAGATGAATCGCAATAAATTGGTGAGCGTCAGCAGCTTCAGAGTAAGATTTCGAAATTCAGAACGCACCACCGTCTTTTAAATCCGAGGTGTGGAAGCATTTTGGATTCCTCAAGACAGAAAATGAAAGAGGTGAGAAGATAACAGACGAGACAAAAACTGTGTGCAAATATTACAAGATGACGGGGAACTACACAAATAGCACAACCATCATGATGCAGCATTTAATCCACACCACGATGAGAAGCTCCAGTCACCTCCCCTTGTTGAGAGAAAAAATATATTAAAAAGCCAAACCACACTGACAAGCGGGTTAGCAGCCACTAAAGGAATCTTTTTCACTCATCATTTGTCTTCACACTTATTTTGTAATTGAGTTAATCCTTACCCAGAAGTGAACATGAACGATTCTGTAACAATGTCTGATGCAGGAGCAGGATCGTGAGGGTTTCTAGTGCCCTGGGTTTATTTAAGTTTAGTTCATGTTGTGCTCACATGAAGCTCTGGTTTAAACATTTACTAAAACTAAACTAAAGGTGTGTGTGTGTGAGGCTGCAAGTTGGCATTAGCAGTATTTGATAAATGAGTTTCTTTTTAGTCATCGTGTATTTTTCATGTTCACTTTCCGTTTCTCTCAGGTGTGTGTGTGTGTTTTTAAGCTTCCTCGTGATCAACACAAGACGAGAGTTTACAGGACACTTCAGTACCTCATGAGCCGAATCGTACATGAAGAGCCTCGGGCAGACGTCTTCTGGTCGATCCAAACACCAGACTAAAAAAAGGAGGAGCATTTGCTGTGGAGCGACCTGCCCGAGGAGATCAGGTCAGCCGAGTCAGCCATCTTTTTTTTTTAAAAAGCACTCTCATAAATATAGGTTATTATTATTATTATCATCATTATTATTATTATTATTATTATATGTAAGACATCAATCATCAGTAACCTCATCAAACCACTGTGGTGGATTCTCTGACTGTGTTCTTCTTCCACTGATAAAAGACTCGTCTGCGTCTAGTGGAGTTACAGAGACCTCTAGAGGCCCAACAGGTGAACTGCAGCTGAGTTTGAATCATTTCAACAGCAGAGTCTGCAGTTAGACATTCCTACATCTGGAATTTAATAATAATTATAATATATCTGTTTAGCACCTTTTTAAAACAAACTTAACAAAGGTCTTTCCATAAAACATAAACAGGGATATAAAACACAAATAAAAACAGAACCATACATTTCTACAGTTTGATTATTTAGTCCTACAGCTCAACACCATCCTGAATCACGGGCACATTTCTTACTTAGATTTAGAAAACTTTATTTATCCCAGAGGGTCCTACAGTCCACCCAGACCATGCATACAATTACAAACAACAGACTGAGTTTCTCAGAGACAACAAACAACAAACTATTTGGTACTTGACAAAGATGAGCGCTGACACACCGACACCTTCATGTGGTCTCTTTGGGCAATGACACCCACTAGGGCCAGGCAATAAATATAAAACCAAGAAATCATAGGATGAGCTGCCGTCACATTGAAGACTACATTCAAGGAGTGTACGTCCAGGCCCCTGGTGTACTTCAAAGGATCGATCTGTAAGATATGTTGTGAATTAAATTACACCTCATACTATACTATCTTATCAAACATTGTGAATTCGTATTATGGTCTGTCTGACAGCCAGGCCTGCAGAAAGTTAAGGCCGGGCCCCTGAAAGGCATGACGCCTGGGTTGCAGACCTCAAAGGATGGGTGGATTGAGCGCCCGGTGAACCTCCAGTTTAAACTGAAAAAGGTGAGATAAATAATCAGTTTGTCGTATGAGAAGTTTTCTATGTGTGGAAAGTTTTAAGTCACAGGAAGTTCAATTCATTGATGCTTTATTAACCCACGTCTGTAAATACACGAGACCATTCAGAGACTCTACACACACATGCAGCAAACATTGTTCAGCAGAAACCCCGACCTGTCGTTTGAAAGTGCATCAGGTCGTCCCGCTCCAGCTGCAGAGAACAACAGATAACTTTTTAAGGGCGCTGTAAGTCACACAGAACGCCATTCTTTCAGGACTCAATAACATCTCCAAAGAGCTGTTTGAACATGGCATCAATAATTCATCCCTTCTCGTACACACACGCTCGCCGTGACAGCCGCTTCACACGCCGCACGACAAAATGTGCTGCATCATGGAATCCGTCTTCTTCTTCGTCCTTCCTCAGTCGTTGGAGGACGCGGCGTTCACAGAGTGCTGGACGCCAATTTTAGAGTCAAAAACCAAAAACTCATGAGAGCGAGATACATTTAAGATATTACATTTCTATGTATGAGCTTCACTGAATATCTAAGGCATTAGTAAGCGTATGTCATGAGTTTTTGCTTTAGTTTTGTATTTTCCTTCCCTTGTGTTTGTTGTTTCAGTTTTATCCCTGAGTTCTCTGTTGGTCTTCAGTGTTCCTGCTTTGACTGAGATCCCCAAACCTTCAGCGAGGTCATCGGGCACTACTACCACCCGATCCCCCTGACGCCCAGCCTCCATCATCAGACTGTGTCTTCCCAACAACCACCGGCGTCCTCAGTTGGTCACATGGCAAACCTTCTCCGTGTCCAGTGGCGATTTTGTAGTCTGTCCCCTCCAAACAGCATTCATCCTCATTATGTTATGAATAATCTGACACCAACACATATTCTTAGCAGAAGTTATGTGATTAAAGTGTCCCTCGTCCATATTTAGGGCTAGACAAGCATCATTCAGTCACATACTATAGTATGAGTGAGTACTGTAAAATGGGGCACCTTTCATGTTGAGTCACTCCTGTGGTTTTAAGTCTGTCAGCCCTTTTGGGCCCCCTACTGGCCTGGGGTCCCAAGCAGTTGCCTGCCTTGCAGCACTTTTGTCCGTGTCGCCTGGTGATTTTCTCTATGCTCGAGTGAATTGGCAAAAAATGAAATACATACCTATGTCAAAAATTGGAAAAAGAAATACATACATACCTAAGTCGAAAATTGGAAAAAAAAAACAACAACTATGTAAAAAAATTTAGAAAAACAACATACATGCCTATGTGGACAATTGGAGAAAAACGACATACATACCTATTTCGAAAAATGGAAGACAAAAAAGGGCATACATATCTATGTCGAAAATGAGAAAAAACTACATACATACCTATGTCGAAAATTGGAAAAAAAAAACGACATAAATACCTTTGTCGAAAAAAACAACAACTATGTCGAAAAATTCAGAAAAACGACATACATGCCTATGTGGAAAATTGGAGAAAAACGACATCAAAAAATGGAAAAAAAAAGACATACATGCCTATGTGGAAAATTGGAGAAAAACGACATACATATCTATGTCGAAAATGAGAAAAAACTAAATACATACCTTTGTCGAAAAAAACAACAACTATGTCGAAAAATTGAGAAAAACGACATACATGCCTATGTCGAAATTTGGAAAAAAACGACATACATACCTATATCAAAAATTGAAAAAAACGACATACATACCTATGTCGAAAAAAACAACAACTATCTCGAAAAATTTAGAAAAACGACATACATGCCTATGTGGAAAATTGGAGAAAAACGACATCAAAAATTAGAGAAAAACAACATACATGCCTATGTCGAAAAAAACAACAACTATCTCGAAAAATTTAGAAAAACGACATACATGCCTATGTGGAAAATCGGAGAAAAACGACATCAAAAATTAGAGAAAAACGACATACATGCCTATGTGGAAAATTAGAGAAAAACGACATCGAAAATTGAAAAAAAATGACATACATGCCTATGTGGAAAATTGGAGAAAAACGACATACATATCTATGTCGAAAATGAGAAAAAACTAAATACATACCTATTTCGAAAATTGGAGAAAAACGACATACAAACCTATGTTGAAAAAGTTTGAAAAACAACATACATACCTATTTCGAAATTTTGAAAAAACTATATATACCTATGATGAAAATTGGAAAAAAAAACAACATACATACCTGTGTCGAAAAAAAACAACAACTATGTCGAAAAATTGAGAAAAATGACATAAATGCTTATGTGGAAAATTGGAGAAAAAACGACATACATAACTATGTCAAAATTTGAAAAAAAAGGCCTGCATACCTATGTCGAAATTTGGAAAAACCGGCATACGTGCCTATGTGGAAAATTGGAAAAAATAACACATACGTACCTACGTCCAAAATTGGAGAAAAACGATATACATACCCATGTCGAAATTTGGAATAAAATGACATACATACCTTTGTCGAAAATTGGTGAAAAAGTGACATATACCTAATTTGATATACATGCACACCTATGTCGAAAGAACCCACATAAATTAATTCATCGTCCAAAAGAAAAAAACGACGTCTACATTTTGGAAAAAAAACACATTACTAACCTATGTCAAAAAGTTACATATGTACATGCATACATGAATTTTTCATACAATGTTCATCTATGTACATATGTATGTATGCATGTATTCATATTTGTATGAAAAATTCTTGAATGTGTAGGTCATATAATATAAAAATATATAAATTGAAAGAACGAAAGAGTTCTCCTGTTTCCTTGTTATCAAGATCAAGTTTTATTATCAATTCAACAAACAATTTAATCAAGATAAGAGTGCAATAACACAGTTTGACATTTTCAAGATTTCATTAACCAGTTATTCTTCTCCAGTGATCCTCTTTGACACAGAAAAACTCCCATGTTTTTCAGCCTCTTCCAAAGTTTAAGAAAGACGTTAAACAAGTACAGCATGAAATACATCAACCTCACATGCAGTCTCTAAAGTCTTTCTGTCTATAAACGTTTGTCTCTTTTCCTTCTCTTAAAGGTGCAGTCTGCTCTTTTCCTCTCCTCAGCCGGGAGAAACGCACAAACATCTCAGAGTAGAAGAAAGTCCAGAAAAACCGCAGGTCCCCTGAACTCAGCATTCATCAGGTTTCAGCAGTGCAGGAAGGTGGACCATCCCTGATCCCAACCAAAGACATGAAGGGACTTTAGATTTGAAAACCCCCTGAATCCCTCCACAGTGACTTTTTTCTTTCAGCGTTTCAGAAGCTTTGGGGGTTCGGAGGAGTCCTGTCGTCTTCCCCTGCTGATCAGCGAATCAAACACCAGGTGGTGATGTTTCCTCACATTCAGCTGGAGCTGCTGCCCTGCTGCAGAGTGGAAGCTGAAACACATGAAAAGAACCATCAAATTAAAGCGCATGAATATTCTGTACAATACAAGTCATCAGCCCTTGTTGTATACTGAGCTTCACTGGCATGCTAACATCAGTAACTTTGTACGTATGTGTAAATGTTTCAATAAAAGCATCTTGAAAACGTGAACAAGTGCTGATGTATAGTATAGTATTTTATTATAAACATAACATACATACTGTACATACACACACACACACACACACATGGATTTTTCATTCATACATGAATATATATACACAGATACATACACACACATGGCTTTTTCACACATACAAACATGTATTTTTCATACATACAGTACATACATGGATTTGTCATATATACATACATACATGCACATGGGCTTTTCATACATACATACAGTACATACATGTATTTTACATACATACATACATGGATTTGTCATACATACATACATACATGGATTTGTCATACATACATACATGGATTTGTCATACATACAGTACATACTTCATACACACATACATGAAAAACACGATGTATGATGATACATCGTGTTTTTCATACATACATTCATGGATTTTTCATACATACATAAATTCTTACAGACATACATACATACAGACATACATACATACATACATAGGGTGTACAGTGAGTGCGTACCTGTCAGGCTTCTGGTGCGTCTCTTAGCCTCTGCTCTCTCCTCAGAGTCAAAGTACCAGATCGTGATGGCATACCTGAAGCAGAAACATCATCTGATTAATTACCGCTGTATCTTTATTTCTGTTTAGATTTCTCAGAGTGATCTTTTTACTCCATATATTCTAAAACAGCAGATTTAAGCAGGAAAAACTGTTCCCCTTACATCCCTACATTCACAATAAGAGACGTGTCAATGGATTAAAGATGCTCCTTTTCCCAGAATGACTTATTACAAGTTCTCTCCAGCAGAGGGCGCCAACTCTCCGTGTATTAAAAGAGTTTGAGTATAAAAAGCTAATTTCAGTACTGAGTGACCGAATAAATGATGATTGAACTTATATGAATATTTAAAGAGAAAACATCTTAATTTAAGGCTGTTAAAGACATATTTTACGGGTCGGGCTGAGTCACGCGCAGGACAAAAGATCACAGACTGAGAATGATGCAGGGAGCAGAGAGGGAAACACGAGGTTCAGGTTGTTTCATTAAATTTACAATAATCAATAAATCTACAAACACTACAGCAGATGATCAATGCTGTAATTTAATCCTCTGATCTAAAAGTTCAGGGAGATTTGAACAAACTAAACGTCTCCTGCAGGATCAGTTCTCTGATTGGTTGCTTACCTGGTGGCGAAGGAGGGCTGCACCTCGTGTGGGTTCCTGCGGTCTGACCAGAAGAAGAGCAGCCGGTCGAACAGCGGCTTGATGTCGGCTACGTAAGACTTCCCCTCTGGGAAAATCCGGAGGATTCCTCCGTGCTCCTGATGAAAGACAATACAAAGATCAGCTGGAGGCGACATTACAGGAAGTGAACGATGATGACAGATCTTTTCTATAACCATATCCTGTAAAGATTGTTTTGAATCAAACATAAATCATCAACAATATTTCCCCTCTCTCTCATGAACTCATACTTCTGTGTTGTTGTTCTGTCTCCAAAACAATAAAGTCAGTTCTGTTATTTAAACCTGAGCTCTGTTTGTTTCCATATTTCTCCTGACTGAAAATATAAAGTGAACTTACTACGCTTACAACTGAGGCGGGCCTCTCCATTGGCTGTCATTTTACAAGTGACTTTTGCAACACTCCTGCCGTGCAAGATCCACAAATGCGTACACATATCTTCAAATGTGTCTGACGATCTGCAAACAGATTAGTGGGGTTTGTTGCCCTGAGGCCAGGCTCACAGGCTAGGCTGACTGTCCGCGGTAGCACCCAGTGTACGCATTTGTGGATCTGTGTACGCATATTCAAATAGTTTTGCCACAATATTAGCTCCATAAAGCCTCTGCATGTTTCTAATAAGCTCCACGAGCAGAAACGTGCTCAAACTAGGATCAATATTGGAGATGCTTTTGAAAAATGGAGAGAGGTTAGAACACAGAAAGGTTTACAGACCGATGCAGAGCTGGATAAACACTGAAGCTTCAGTGTCCACCACATGGCAACCTGTGTGAGCATCGACTCTAGAGAGGAGGGGGCGGGGGGAGACAGCTCTCTACAATGTGATGAATTTGGACTGCAGTACCGATTTTAAACACTAGGTGTCAGAGTAACATTTTGCTCCTTTAATTCTCTGCTTGCTTCAAATTAAAAAAAAAAACATTTGGACACTTGCCAGAGGCCAAACGGAAAAGAAAAAAAGTGAATCTGTAATGAACAAAGGTCCTTGAACGCACCTTGGGGTCCCAGTTCTTGTTGAGGTAGTAGATGCAGGTGATGCAGCGTCCGTCCAAGTTTGGGTTGTCCACGTGTTTGACGTAACCTGCCCCGTTTCCAGGGTAACACGCCACCATGGCCTGAAGACACAAAACCAGACAGATGGAGAATATTGAAACACAAAAGCATGAATACACAAAGAACATCGTGTTTTAGTCCTCAGGATTTAAACAACATGAACGTTTGAAGCTAAACTTGATCACATATGTTCGGTACGTTCGGCCCACAGTGACACGGCGGACATGTTGAAAAATGAGATGAAGAAACTTCCTCTGTGTGTGTCCACATATGCGCATATGGGTATGAGGGGGAGGGGGGTTATTAGCTCATAGCGGGTGTTGTGGTTATGAGACTACGGCGCCGGCTGCACGTACACAGATTGAATGTGTGTGTTCATGTTTGTGTCATGTGTGAGTGTGTGTGTGTGTGTGTGTGTGTGTGTGTCAAATCCTGCAGATAAACTACTAACGAGAAGTCACAGCAGTCAGAACAGCCAAAATGAACCTTCACGCAGAGATTGTTGTTTTTTTTTTAATTTGTTGACAGAAAACTGAAGACTGTTTGAGCCTCGTTTGTGTGGTTACACCCTGGACTGTTCACCAGCCAATCACAGGGCTGACATATAGAGACAGACAACCAGCCACACTCACATTCACACCTACGAACAATTTAGAGTCAGCAGTTAACCTAACGAGCATGTCTTTGGACTGTGGGAGGAAGCCGGAGAACCCGGAGAGAACCCACACATGTGTGGGGAGAACATGCAGACTCCACACAGAGAGGCTCCAGTCAGACGGGGATTCAAACCAGGAACCTCCTTGCTGTGAGGCAACAGCGCTAACCCCTGTACCACCGTGCAGTCGGATATTATAGCTCATCAAAATGAAAAGAGGAAACCTTGTTTTTGTTGGATTTTAGCCGGTTGATTAAAGAGTTCTTAGACATTCAGATTTCAACCAAAGTCTAACGTCTAAATCCTGGCCGGTGCTCGCTGCGTTAATTCTCGTTCTTATAGCGGAATAAAACCTGAAGATTAAAATAAAAAAGACTGAGAGTGTGCATCCCCGCTGAGTGAAAAGTGTTGTGAAGCATAATCAGGTGAACATGGCAGACCACGACAGAAAAACATTTTAACACCTGAGTTAAGAAAAAGAATAAACACTAGAATAACATCCACACACATTCATCTGAACTGGAAACCCACCCCCCTGCAGGAAGCAGCAGACAATCAGACACGCGTTTCCGTGTCAAAGTCAACAAAAGACTCAAATTGTGGATTTCCTTCCAGTAAGAATAAGCAGCTGATCCTCTGTGAGGTTATTTAAGGTTGTCATGGCTACAGCTTCAGATTATTCAGCTGTTTGGAGGCTCGAAGGACGTCTTTGAACGCGTGCATTTATAAGTTACACAGTCCTGCACTTCTCGTGTCTCGGGGTCTGAATACGTCGAGTTTCAGAGTCGCTGCTGCAGATTACTCCAACCTGCAGCTCAGAGACATCCTGCATCACTCTCCAAAGTCAAACAACAGCTCATAACTAGGATGTGAGATATCTCACACACACACACACACACACACACACACACACACACACACACACACACACACACACACACACACACACACACACACACACACACACACACACACACACACACACACACACACACACACACACACACACACACACACACACACACACACACACACAGTTTTACTGTTAACTTGTTTTTTACCGTGTAACCAAGGTGACAAGCACAGACAGAGTGATGTCACAACTTGTAATTCTGTTTGTTTTCATTAAGGGTACGGTCTGCAGTCTCACGTTCCACACGTAGCCCGGCCATTAAACCGTCATCAGGCTGGAAACCTGCCAAACAACCGCACACACATCACTACCGCCACCCCGGCCCCATCCCCTCCGTCCCTCTAACCCACCACCTTCTCTTTCTTACAAAGATAAGATCAAATTTGTGTGTTCCCAAATGTGTGTGTGTGTGTGTACTCCTATTGTAACTGGTTTGTTGTCTTTGAAAGTTCTATCTGATAACAAAGACAGATGCGTGAAATGAGGGCTCACTGTACGCGGCCTCACGTGCGGACAGGGTGGACATGTGAATGTGTGTGTGTGAAGGAGGAAAAGCAAGGATACCGTAAATCAGAGTGCGTACGTGTGAGTGAGGGAGTGAATAATTGAGTGTCTGTGTGTACGTGAGAAAGTCCACCGATAAATCTGCACGACGCCAACAGGAAAACAAGTGTGTGTGTGTGTGTGTGTGTGTGTGTGTGTGTGTGTTGTAGAGCTGCTTTCTTCTTCTCTTGTTGTTTACTTCACTCTGATGTTAATGACTTTTAGATTATATGGTAATGACCATCAGTTGACCCATTTTGAAGACGATATCTGGACTCAAACTGAATTGAAAGAGCTACTTCAAAAAGTCAAACACAAGAAGAAGAACGCAAAAACAAAGTATTCAATTCATGTCTATTAAACTAGGATTGAGCGTGCACTTCCTAACACATGACCAGACTGGTGTACCACTAGGGGGAGCACCACTGAATGAAGCAGTCGAGCCTGATTCAGACGCCTGCGTTGAATCTAAGCAGAATCAAACACCGTTGAGAGGCTGCAGTGCTCAGGGCGGTCAGCCCGGGTTTGAATCCGACCTGTGGCTTCATTCCTGCAAGGCATTCCCCAATCTCACTCTCTCTCGCCCCATTTTCTCACTCTCTCCACCTGTCTCTTCAATAAAAGGCACAAACAGCCTTTCTTTTTTCTTTCTTTTTTTTTTCACTTTATTGCAATGTTCGTTTACAGTTTTCATTCACAACAGTGACTTCAGAATGCATTGCAACATTTTTTTATTTTATTTTTTATAAATAAAAAACTAAACCATAAAAACTAAACAAAGACAGTACAAGGAAAAAAGTAAAAAAATAAAAATAAAAACCCCAAATAACAGAAATTCAAATTAAAGCTAAATTAGGAAGAAAAATCATATTTATAATTATAATTTAAAAATAATAAAGGGGGGGGGGTGTTGCCCATCTACTGATCTTTTGATCTCATGTACCTGTACAGCTCATCAAGTCTTTTTTTTGGATACATCTTACATATTTTATGCAAGTCACCTCTTATACATTCTTCGTTGTGTAAAGTTTGTTGAATCATTAAAAAAAAAATGAGTTAAGTCTAGCTGGATGTTGTTGTTTCCATGTTCTTGTTATGTGCTTCATGGCCATCACTCTCAAAATATTAAAAAGAGGAATATCAGCAGCTTTTATTACCTCCGGTAAGTTAATGCCCTAATAATTTTCTCTCTCTGGATGTGTATTTAACTCAAAGATTAACATACATTTACCTCTTCCCAAAATGATTATAAAACTGAACTATTAAAGAAAATATGTGCATACTTGGCCTCTTGTTCCCCACACCCTCTCCAACAGTCTGAACCTGCTAGAGTGGAATATTAACTGTGTTGGCATGGTGTGATAAAATATCTCATGCTTACTTTCCAACCAAACTCCCTCCAGTATTTTGATTGCGTTATTCTTAAGTTTCTACTCAAGCTGTCCTTCCAGTCTTCTGCTGTCATATTGATATCTACTTCTTTTTCCCATCTTTCTTTTATATTATAATCTACAATGGTGTGCTTTTGCAATATTTTATATACTGTATATTTGAAAGCTTTCCTTTAGCTATATTTTTATTTTGGAACAACTGCTGCACAAACTCATTTGTTAATGTATCATCCTGTATATGTTTTGAAAGATAACTTCTCTCAATATTTCTGATCCACCTTGTATTTTGAAGCTATCATTTCAAATGAATCTATTGTAGTTTTTGTGATTAATTGAGAGTATGTTGTTAGTCCCTTAATTGCCCAGCTGTTTAGTGTGCTATCTGTCTTATTTGGACTACAATCAGGGTCATACATAATTTCTCTGAAATACATACATTCACTATTTACTTTTAACAACTTACAAATATGTTTCCAGTTCTTAACAGTGTTTAAAATACAGTAGCTCTGTCCTGTTTGTGTTTTCCATGTTCCTTTTCCTAGGAAAGGTAACGTTCCAAGAGGTATACCTGCCACTTCTTTTTCTATAGCCAGCCATTTCACCTCCGTTTTCACACTCATCCATTTCAGCATATTAGTAATTTGTGAAGCATAAAAATAGTTTTGCAAAATTGGGACTCCTAATCCTCCTTTTGCTGCAGCAAAGTTTTAAATTTTATTCTCTGTTTTCTGTTGTTCCATATAAAGTTTGATATAATTGTATTCCATCTATTAAAACACACTTGTGGTATTAATACAGGTAATGCTTGAAATAAAAAGATAAATTGTGAAAGTACCATAATTTTTTTTTGTCTCAACACTGCTTAGTTTTCCATCTGGTATTAATCTCCATCTATTCAGATCCTGTCTTATTTTATTTTCCAAAACACAATAGTTGTTTATAAACAATTCTTCCAGTTTCTTGCCAATGTTGATGCCAAGATATTTTATTTTCTTTGTGTCCCATTTGATTTTACATTCATCTAGCTTGGCTAACCTGTTTTCCAACAACTAGTTATTCACATAATGTTTATTTAATTTATATCCTGAGACTTTTCTATGGTCATCAATAGTTGACATTAATTTATGGAGTGATTCTTCTGGTGATGCAAGATAAACTATAACATCATCTGCATAAAGTGTTTCTTTTCCTACTTCTATCCCTTTAATACCAGTGTTATTTTTGCTTATTGCCATGTCTGTGCCCATTTTCCTGTGCTTAATGCAAAATTATAAGGTTTAAGTAGTAAGGGGATTATTTTTCCTTTAAATGTTTTATGAAATTCATTTGTAAAGCTGTCATCCCCGTCATTTTCCTGCTTTTAGTCCCTGTATTTGTTGTTTAATTTCCCCTGCAGTTATTGCTTGTATCATTTTGGTATTTTTTTCCTGTTGTACTCTTGGTAGTTTTATGTTACTCAAATATTTCTTAATTTGGTCACCATCTACTTGTACTTAATTTTAATATAAAGATTCATAATAATTTGCAAACTCCTCTGCAATATCTTCTTTATCCGTTATTATTTGTGATTGAGCTGTAGTTAATTTCGTTATACTTCCTTTTTCTATTTGTCTTTAGGGACTTTGGTCCGCTATCAGAACTTTCTTGTTGCGTAAACCTCAGAAACTTTTCTATCTCTACTGTTCATATTCTATCTAATTTGTGACATTTATCTTTAAGTTTATATTCATCTTCAATACTACCAGTCTCTCTATGTTTAACCTCCAAATGTTTTAGTTTCTCTAATACATGTTTTTGTTGTGTTTCCTCTGCCTTTTATTTTTTGCAGATGAGTAAGAGATTATATGACCCCTAATAACTGCTTTGGCTCCATGCCACAATATGATTGGATCTATATACTCTGTGTCATTTATATCTACATAGTCAGTCAGCACCTTCTGTATTTTAACCAGAAGTTTTTCATCCTGTAGTCGTGCATTATTCATCTCTTCATTCAAGAGATTTCCGTTTACTGATTTTTAATGTTATTTTAAAAGAAACCGCAGCATGATCTGACATATTTATTGATCCAATGGTTCATTTTAGCTAAAGTTACATCTGTTTTAAACATAAAAAAGTAGTCTAGTCTATTATAGACTGAGTGTCTGCCTGAGAAACATGTATATTCTTTCTTATGTGGGTGGAGAGTTCTCCATATATCTACGAAGCCAATCTCTGAGCATGCTCTCCTTAGGACACGTTTTCTCTGCTCTGTGACTTTTTTCGTTGGAGGAAAAAAAGTCACATAATGTATTCATTATCATATTAAGATTTCCTCCCAATATAACTACACCCTTACTCTTTGTCATTATTAAATCTATTAGCTTACTCATAAGCTCTGGTCCTGTATCTGGGGGATAGTAAACTTTCAGAAAAGAAATATCTACACTCTCAATTTTTCCCACTACCAACACATATCTGCCTTCTCTATCTGTAGTGCAGTTTTCCTTTTCAAAACCTACATGCAATTTAATAATGATAGCTACTCCTCTTGGTGCTGAGCTACATGAGCTATAGTATACCTGGCTATTAGTTGTTTTCTTTAATTTCTCATGTTCCTGTCTTGTAAGATGAGTGTCCTGTAGGAAAACAACATCCCCTTATCTCTCTCCTTCTGCAGCAGGATTTTCTTCCTCTTAACTATATTATTCAGGCCATTGAAATAGCCATTGGGCTCCGCTCCGTTGCAAATGCACAAATTATTTTGCTGTGATTTGTTCTCCAAATAGTCTATCTGGTCTCCCATTTCCACCATATGATAGCTGAGATGTTTTGATGTTTTCTGAAGCTCAAGTTTTTCATCCTCCAGTTCACTCACCCTATTCTCCAGTTCCAAAACTCTCCCATTTGTTTTCTCAAAGTTTTTTCCCAGATCAAGCGGATTTTTGCAATATTATGTCCCGTTCTGTGTCGGATTGGAAGTCAGTAAATTCCGCCCTGAAATCCTTAATTTCTCCGGAGATTGAATCCTTCAGCTCCATAATTAATTGCTTTATCTCACCTGTGTCTGCCATTGTTTGTGGCTGCGGGGTGGAAGTCAATGTTTGATTCACTTCAGGTTTGTTTTCTTCTTTACGCCTTGTCTTTGATCTCATAGACATCCCTTTCAGATTACCCTTTTAAATATTTTCTTCGTTATTATTTTGAAGTTAACCTTTAAATCGGGGGGCCTTGAAGACACAAAGTCTTCCATCAAGGGGGTAGTTGGGAGTTGCTCCCCCCTTGATGAAGCTTTTTGTCTTTCACTCACATCGGGCTCGGGTTCCCTAAGCTTTTAACCCACTATACTGCAGCAACATACCGTGCAGAGGACACCCAGAGGACCAGATCTGGTCCAGGACATTTCCTGTGCTTCCTGGAGCGTGCTCTGGTTTCTGAAGCCTTGGCTCCGGGCCCAGAGTGGGTCTCTGGACTGCTGCCAAAAGGACAAACATGTAGGGACACCGCCATGACACCTCCGCCGCTTCAACATGATTCTGTTTGGAACAGGTCAAGCAAAAAGGAAAGCGCTCCGGCCTCCTCGGCCTCTGTGAGCGACCGTAAGCTGACCTGAATCCAGAAAACAGACTGTTTTTCAGCTGAGCTTGGAGAGCATCGAGTAAAACACTAAAGTCCTCCAAGAAGAAGTGCAGGTTCAACACCTAGAGGGTAACTTCAGGATCAGCGGAGGACGAGGTAACCTTTAAGAAGCTGCTGAGGAAGTATGAACGAGGACAGGAAGCTGTCACAAGAAACACCGTCCCGCACGGTTCAACAAACTTTACACCTTCAGGAAGCTTCTCCTGCTGTAGAGCACTTCCTCATCACAATCACAAAAAGGTTTCAAGCAAGTTCCCCGTAATGGACAAATGTTCCCATGTCCGACTAAAAACAACTAGATAGTTTAATGTAGGATGTCGGAAACCTCACTCCCAGCTTTCCTAAGGCCCTGTGTACACCTGGCGTTTTAAGCGCTGGCTGGATGAAGCTCTTGCACATGCGTCCTGTCTCCATGACAACAGTCTCTTAAAAAAACCGACCTCTGTGTGATGGACTCTGCTCCGTTGCTTTTAGCTGCATGTTTTATATTTGAGATCTTTTCCTCCTCCACTGTGAGAATCAAACGGAGGACGTTTCTCCTCCTACTCTGTTATGACAGGGAGCGAGCAGGATGTGGGTACAAGGAGCCAAAAATAGGGGAAATATCTTACATTTTGAAAAGAGCGCCGCTGACATCAACAGTGCCTTTCTAAAAGTTGAAAGATTTTCATCTTGAGCCCTCTGAGCAGGGAGCTGCACTTTTTTTCTGGATGGCCGCCTGCTGCTGCAAACGCTCTCTGCTCTCTGGCGTTTAGAATCAAAAAACACCAGGTGGACAAAGAGCCTAAGTCATCAGTTATCGATCCCGTTGAGCAGAAAGTTTATCACCTCAACCAGGCCTGACATGGAGATTGTCCCAATAACAGAATTTTAGACTTGGATATGATTCTTGTAAAACCAGCAACATAAGCACAAGTCCTGCTCACACACTGACTTCTCTGCACAGAAACATGTATTTGAACATTTTACACACTGCACACTCTCCTCGCTGCAGAAAAATATGACAGATGACCTTACTAATCAGGCAGCCGATAACATCGTCCGATATGAACTTATCCAGGGACTATCAGTATCGGCTAATTTAATTGCAGATAAGCACTCCACAAATAAACGTATTATTTTGATTATAGGAAAGGGTTGACAGAGCAGATCATGCATCATGTTCCCCGAGTTATGTTTAAATATCAGTGCACCTTCAACAAAATAAAACACCTGCAGAAAAGAATCATTAACTTTTTGACATTTTAAATATTTGAGACTTTAACCTCCCAAAGTCCGTTCACCTACAGCAGTTTTATTTCAATTTGTTTTCCAAAGTATCCACCATGTATTGACCCTCCACTCAGTTGTACCTCTCCATACTGTTGTTTATCTTATTTACCTGTAACAAGGCGTGACGTCACTTTAAATAAAGGTTGACCTCTGCAGTAGGAGCTAATGATTGTTTGCACTTGTTATTTTAGAATAGAAACTCTTGAACTTGACCCACATCTCTCTCTGTCTGTCTTACCTTTGACCTCTCCCGGATGGCTTTGCCCCCGAGCCGTCTCGCGCACACGGAGATCAGTTTATCGATCACGTTGAGCAGGAAGTTAATCGCCTCACAGCCGCGCTCCGTGCCGCTCACCCACGCGATCTTGTCCCCGCGGATGCTCCTCCGGTGGACGCCCGACGCGGAGCCCGCCAGCCGGCCGTCCTGCAGCGCCCCGGAGAAGTGCATCTCCTTCACCTGGTCCAGCACCGCGTCGCCGGCCACGTCCCCGAGCAGTCCGTCCAGGTAGCAGAACCCGCGGGCCAGCAGAGCCGGGACGACCCGCTCCAGGGCCAAGCGCTCCAAGTCCGAGTCCCGCATGAGCTCGATCAGAGGCATTCTCTCAGACTGACAAGTGACCCGGATGACCCTTAAAACAGAACACAACAACTGTCACTTTTAAAGTTTCGATGTTTTCAGGTTGTCTCTTTGACTGACAGCTGAACTCTGAAGATGATTATAATACTCTGATACTGCGTGTCATCGGGTTCGTATTTAAGCTGAAACTCTGGTAAGTTCAAGGGTGCAAAGATACTACTTCCGACTGTCGATTTCAAAATAAAAGCACTACAGCTTCACATTAAATGTCTTCAGTCGCTCAAGAAAGAAAAGAAAGAGTAAATAATATCTTAGTATCATGCAAATATATATACATATATTGATAAATATAATTCTACATTTGAAGTCAGAATGATTTGTTTAACAATGACAACAAAACCTCAATAAATGACAAATTGATGCTTAGTTATTTCGTATCGTTACAAGAAATTTCAGTTTCGGTTTTCCCAAAGATGTTCATTTTTAAGAGCATCCAATTGTATGTTACCGCCTTAAAACAATAGAAAGACTTAATGCTGGGTTTACAGCTCTTCTGTTTCTATGTCGGCTTTAAATGGAGGATGTTTGTGTTTTGGACTTTAACTTAGAAATAAAACATTTAGGGCTTTAACATTTTTCTCTGGGAATGATATTCATTCAGTGTTTAGCGCAATATGTGAAAGGACGGAAGAAAAAATAAATACAATAAATATTGATTTAAAACTTTTAGTAATGACGCTTCGGTAAAAAATGAGCAGCTACCATCAGAGCACATCAGCGACCTTTGAGATGTCAACCTTTTGTTTTGAAGGCGGACTGTGCCACTTCCGGTCCTGATGTGTTTTCTTTGCAGTGAATCAGGGCAACATGAGGAACAGAGAGACGTGCTGGATGAGATGTCCACAATGAGAGGAGGAGGAGGAGGAGGAGGAGGAGGGGGGGGAGTCCTCACCTCCTCTCTGTGTTCTCTGATCACTTTTTACATTTAATCCATTATTAAACAAATAGTATTTATGATTTTATCTTTAAGAAAAACTAAAATGACAATTTAACTGAAACAATCTGGGCACAGAACTTTAAAAACACCCACACAGACTGAACATATCGGACGTTTCATTCACCTGATTGTTGTTGTTGTTTGTTTCTTTCAAAGTGTAAATGAAGTCCGATGAGCACTCTTGAGTCACTCCGGGCTGCCAAGTGCCCGCGCGCTGGGCGTGCCCGCCGCCATTGACGACTCCACGAGCCGCATGTAGGCCTCACGCTCCCTCCCTCCTGTCCGCGAGGAAGTGAACAGTAAATGTGAATCGGACCACGCGCCACAAGCAGGCAGAACAGCTGACCAGAGCAGAAAACAACAACAACAAATGAATAATAGTAATAATGATGCAGAGTTAGTTTAGAAAAGCAGGAATATAACCGACACATTTACTTCACTACTGTTTTTATTATCTAAGGTTTTTGTGTCTCAGTTTCTAATCAAGCTGGACTTGTTAAAGCATGTCAAGTTTTTAAACCAAGCAGAAACCTCCAGTGTAAAGAAATGAAGCCGATGCTGAAAAGCCAAAATTCTGCAGTACCTCTAAGTGTCCACTAGAGGCTGGCTGCAGAAGCACAGGAAGTCACATACACACCCATTCTAAAAAGCCTGTTTTTACAGCAGATTTTAACATGTTTACAGCCTGGTTCAAAAAAACAAATAGGTCTGATGAGCTCATGTCTCGATGGACACACACTGTACGGGGGTGAATGTTTTGATGACTCATCAGTTTTGATTTGATGAAGAATAAGAGTTATTCACAATAAGGCGTGTTGCTGACCTGATTGACAGTTAGGTTCAGATATCATCATGAGCGCCAGGGATGGCGTGCATCACGTGTGAACCAGTAGTATAACATAGAGCATGTACACAAATGAAGATTATTCTTTGTTCTTTTTATTGTTGTAAGAATTGAAGCTGTTTTTGTTTACGTTTGATGTAAGTCTAATAATTTGCTGGTGGCCTAGTGGTTGGTTTGCACGCCTCATGTACGGAGTATGGCCACTGTCTCTCTCTCTCTCTCTCTCTCTCTCTCTCTCTCTCTCTCTCTCTCTCTCTGTCTGTCCAATAAAAGCAGAAAAAGCCCAAAAATAAATCCTAAAATTAGAAATATATCTGGAGAAGTCCCCGTCTGATGATGTGACTTTTTGACCTTATGAAAAGATGTATAATCTTGTAGAGTGTAAACATTCTTCTTTAAACATTCTTATCAGCGTGTCGAGTGTTTTCCGTCACTGCTTATCTGTCTTTTTTTAATTCAGCTGAGACGCTAACTGCTGCCACTGTCAAGGACATCTGGGAAAGGCATCGCCCTGCACCTGATGATAAACTTCTCACTAAGTGAAGTGAGAGTCATTAAGTTGATGAAGGCGGTGCAGGCGTGTCATGTCGCATCCTGTCACATCCTTCTTCTGTGAATACATGACACTGCAGCACTCTGCCTGCTTCCTGCACAAAGCTCGACACAGAGGAGGCCACAGAGAGTCAGAGGGTTCAAATGTTTCTGTTTGAAGGGGTGAGCCTCGAAGGTGCGACCTCTTTAATATGTCACCTTGGACATATAATTCACACAACAGCAAACATGGATACCTGAAGGCAACACGGGTTAAAAAAACAAAAGTTAATTTAGGTGCACACAGAAAATTATCTGGAAACCATTCGTCATTCCATCGCTCACGAGGAGTATTTCCTGTGCTTCAGATATTTGTGATGCTCATGAGGAAATATTGTATGTGCACTAAGTTTCTCATGATCACTAAAAAACGCTTTGTGAGCATCAGAGAGTTTCTGGCATTCTGTCTCAGGATGAGTTCAATGGTCTTTAGCCTTCTTAGTAAAACAGAGATCTGATAGCTGAATCACATTCATATTTCATTTATTTTTTCTCATTTTCTAATCATATTCAAATGTTTATGCTCATTTTAATGATTAATATTCAATATGTATTTCAGGGGCTATGATTGGCTATTAACCTAATCAGAGGCGGGACTTTAGTACAATTAAACTATTCTGGATGTTTTCATTGCTCGTAGTACTTTCAGATGTAAATAAACACCTTACCCTTTCCATCAATATTTCCAAGCAACAACTCGTGGTGCACTCTGTCTAATTGTTAACGGACTTTATTGCCAATAAATGGATTTTAGCAATTTTCTAAGTACTTACATTTCTGACTTTGCACAACTTTGTTTTCGAGTCCATGAAGAATTAAGATAAGAAGATTTACATGTTGCCAAATGTTTTACAAAAATAACATTAGTGGAGATAGCAAGCGTAAAACTATTCAATTAACTTTGTGTGTGTACCCACAAACTTCATGCCACCACCTCATAAGTCAGGTCCCTGGGTGGCCACCCCACTTAAAGAGTCTGGACACGCCCTTGATGTACAAACACAGTACACTAAAGCACTCGTATAGATATCCGTTTGACACCATACTGCATACAGTACTTGCACATGCACTTGTCTCTACCACTGATCCACAGCCACCCCACCCTGTGTGTGTGTGTGTGTGTGTGTGTGTGTGTGTGTGTGTGTGAATCCGATGGCCGTTCACACTCCAGCCTGCAGCTTGTTGTGCGTACGTGAGAAAGTCTTCATCGTCTGAGTTAACCAGTAACCAGAGCCGCGTTTCCTCTCTGATCCACTGCCAGAGAGAGAGAGAGAGAGAGAGAGGGTGTGTGTGTGTGTGTGTGTGTGTGTGTGTGTGTGTGTGTGTGTGTGTGTGTGTGTGTGTGTGTGTGTGTGTGTGTGTGTGTGTGTGTGTGTGTGTGTGTGTGTGTGTGTGTGTGTGTGTGTGTGTGTGTGTGTGTGTGTTAAATAATGCCTAAGGTTTATTTGGAAGTGTTATAGAGGACTGGAAGTCGTAAACAGCTCTAAATAAAGCTGCTGATTGATGATTGATGACTTTATTACGATGACAAAGTTCTACAGAAAAACGTGCGTCACTGATTTTCCTAAGTATGCTGGTGGATAACTTTGTTGCATGGAGTGGGAAGAACCACCTGGTGTTAAATGTAACAAAGACCAAGGAAATGGTGGTGGACTTTAGGAGGGACAGGCCTGAGCTAAGCACCATCTCTATCCTTGGGGATGAGGTGCAGGTGGTGGAGTGCTATAAATACCTGGGGGTGCACATGAGCAATAAACTGGACTGGAAGCACCACACAGAGGCTGTCTACAAGAAGGGTCAACTCCCCTGGAGTTGTGTTCAGCGGCTGATTGCTCGGTGCTGCCCCCTGGTGGTTTCCCTGGGCGGGGAGCGTCACTACTTTGCAACAGAGAGGAATGTGTTTATAAAAGGAGCAACAGGCTTTCATCAAATGTCTAATAACATGTTGTGACTCGTACTGGAATTAAAGAGAGAAAACAAAACTATTCTGGGAACAAGATGTGATTTTTTATTTGTCTTTTATTCTTTAAATAACAGGAAGTTGGAAGATTGTGCTGAAAATGTTATTTATACCTTTAGACAGTGAACGTAATGTCATTAATCTTATTCAAAACATTTAATTTTATGGCAATTATTATAAAATTAAGCCCATGTTAACCAAGAACTGTAAATATTAAAGTACGAAGCCTGAGTGCCGTCCCCCGTCTGTTCCTGCAGGGGGCGCTGGAATCCCATCAATGGCGGTCTCCATGCTGGAAAAGCTGTCTCAGTCTAACTTTCAGTCAACCTAACAGACTGAGAGATGGAGCTGAGGCGGGTTTGAAGCCTCCTGACAAACCGACAAACCGCTACACCGCGCCCACGATGATATCTGAACCTAACTGTCAATCATGTCAGCTACACGCCTTATTGTGAATAACTCTTATTCTTCATCAAATCAAAACTGATGAGTCATCAAAACATTCACCCCCTGTACAGTGTGTGCTGATCGAGACATGAGCTAATCAGATCTATTTGTTTTTTTGAACCAGGCTGTAAACATGTTAATCTCTCCTGTAAAAACAGGCTTTTTAGAATGGGTGTGTATGTGACTTCCTGTGCTTCTGCAGCCAGCCTCTAGTGGACACTTGAGGAACTGCAGGATTTTACACTTCAGCATCAGCTTCATGTTTCAACACCAAAAGTTGCTACTTGTTACCAACGTGTTCCATTCTG